TGCTCTGGTGGAGGCGAGACCAGCAGCACGGAGGGACGCTGCTGAAGGAAGCCGTGGCTACCAGCCAAGCACGAACTGTCTGCAGAGCAAGCACAGCATGACTGGGCACTCCACACCTCTGCAGCTCGATGGGCCAACCGGTGCTGATGAGCATCACGGACCACGAAATAGCGCCTGGAGCAGCCCCAGCCCTCCTCAGGACCTCAGCACAGCAGCGGCCAAAGCAAGCCACGTAGAAACCTACTGCCCATCACCCGTGTGCGTTACTGGTGTATTTGCACACTTAGAAGCTCACAGCCTCCAAGAGGCACACAGGCTTGGCAGCGCAATTCCTCAGTGGAAGCATTTCTATCCAGGCTGATACATTCCACCTCCCAACCCAGTGGTACAATTCCAAGTGTCTTCTGTTGTAGCAGGTCAGTAACGCTCCATCCACTGGGGACCCAATCTCCTCCAGCCTAGAGTGAAATAATAGCACAATGATTAAATCCATGAGCAGCCATGGAGACGTTGGCCCAACAGGTTTCACGCCATTTCACACATTATTTTTAAATGTTAAGATTTTTCTCCGTTGTAAAAACTGGCTGTGAAACAGCAAGCTTTGCTGTTAAGTAGTGGTAAATAATGCATTGAACCAGTAATGTTTAGGAGAAAAGGTGCCAGAACAGAAACCCACATGAATATATACATAAGAAATTATTTATATGATTTAAGATGTGCAGGAATCATTTAACAGCAGTAGTTAGAACATTTTTACACCAATAGTTGGATGTGTTTAAACAACAGTTTACACCAGTATTTAATAAAAAAATGCAGGTGGTTGGCAAATGTAATTTACTGCTGCTGTGCTAGGTACATAGCTAACTCCAACATCACCTGGGACAGAAATGATGTTGAGCACAGCTTTGAAACCAGATTCGGGCATATCACACGTATTTCCCCTTTTTCTGATCCTAAAGATCAGGCTGGTTTAAAAGCCATCAATAAATGACACCACAGCATTCACACACCAAACACTGACGCTCTCTGCCTTAATGTCCAAATCCTTGTTTAGTTCCTCCAAGAAAAAACAAGAGTTCAGAAACTGGAAACTGCCACAGTAGTCAACATTTGCCTTGTGGCCAGCTCTCCCTATGCTGTGAATGTCATTCTTAACACACAGGTCAGCTGAATTTTGCAAAATTTATCTCCTTGGTCTAACCAAAATTACCCTGACTTCAGAGCGACTCATTAGCTTTCACTCCCAATCTTCTCTAAAATGAACAGACAAGACACCAATGCAGTGTTTATCCTAGTCTACTTTATTTACAATATATACAGTTCCTACAGAAAATGATTTCTCACAAAGGATATTAAATAGCAAAACCACGGCATAGCTTGGATTTGTGCACTGACGCCTGCAGCCAGCACAGAGCCCACAGGACAGGGGGATCCGAGCTCCAGCGGGATGCTGGATGGGATGCGGGCGGGATGCTGGCGTGCCAGCTCCGGAGTGGCAGCAGCTGAGGTAGATCCAGTACGCGGGAGGCACTGCACGCGTGGCACATCCTGCGGCACAACATGGGCCCGATCCCTCCAATGCATCCTGGGGCAGCACAGGTTTGTCCCGGTGTTGCTCAGTAAGCCTTCTTGTACACAGGGTGTTTGGTTGGCTGTCACTCTCTAATCAGCAGCTATGTCACTGGTGTGATTTGCTTAGATCTCACAGAATGCTTTGGACTCCTTTAGGATAAAAGGCACTATGTAAATCTACAGGAATAATGCTTGCTATTTTCGTAGGGAGAATTCAGATGGGCCATTAACATCACGATGCTCTGATGCTCTGTACCATGAAATTACATCCTTATTGCTTAACACTTATATTATCATTAGCTTAATTTAATGCATTCACTATTATCCAGATAATTCCAAAATCTGAATAAAAATCGAAAGAATGGTAATTTTGAGGACTCTATTCCTGTAATTTTTTTAGAATGAACTAAACATACTGCACCTGAGAAAACCTCCCATCTTCCTCTTCTCTTCGTAGGTGTTTCCACTTTTGATTAACAAGTTACTTGTGCTCAAAAAAAAAAAAAAATATTTTATTTTTTCATAAAAAACTTCAGTAACTGAGAACTGCATCTGCAATGCCTGAATGTGAGGGAATAGCACAAACACTGAAGCACATTAAAACTAGTCATCTAAAAATCAAAAGGCACCCAAAATTTACTTTGTTAGTGGTATTCTCTTCTGAAATAGGAAGTATTGTGATTTCTTAAGGTATTTCCTAAAAGCTGCCAACATCCTATAAATGAATGTGAAAAATCAGTGACATTCGGCTACAAGCTCAATTTTAGATCAGTTACTGTAACATTAAAGTCACAAAACATAATTAGGGCTTACTACTGCTGACCACAGTCTCTGATTTTACAGAAGTGTTTTGAATGCAAATCCTGACATTTGCTGAAAGCCTGCAGAGACAATCCAAGTACTAATAAGAACACACCACTTGGATGGGGTTGTAATTCTCACCACTTCAATGCAAATACAAATTAAAGGAAAACTTTATCCAGCTATGGCAAGTCATTTAAGCACTTCCCTCTACCTGGAACCTCTGCACTCAGGTAACAAAAAAAAAAAAGAAAAGCCTTGACTGGAAATCAGAGGCAGTTAAAAGCACTGCAAGATATAAATTAAAAATAAATACAAACATGCCTAAAACTTCGGTGATTAATTCATTTTAAAGCTAAAACAACGAATTAGATCTTAAAATTTAATTTAAAAATCCTTGCTGGTGTTTTCAGTAATAAGAATCCATCTCAGAAAAAGGTATAAAGGCCATCACATGTACTCAACCCCTACTAAATGTTTACTGACAGGTCTGAGAAATGCAAGCTTCTAAGCATTTTCTGTTTTGGTTATGAATACAGGGAACACATTACAGTAGGAATCTATCACTCTATTAAGGGAGCTTACCTTTAGAGACTCCAGATTTCACTTTACACCACTTATAGTATTAGACTTGAGAATCTGGACTACAAAATTTTGTACAGGCAGGCAGAGTCAAGTCTACCACAAAGACTCTACTACAAGCTTTACAAACGAACTAGTAAAATAAGTTCTTCCATTTGTCTTATTTGTACATGGCTCCTCCCTGGAAAACCTTTTATTGACTAAGCTCAGATTTGACTAGTTAGGAGGTAAAAACCAAAAGCGAAACCAAAAAACCCCTCCAAACCCAAAACAATGAAACAAAACCCCACAAATTTTCCCCAAAACAAACAACACGAGGGTTACACAATTTCTAACACTTAAGAAAACGAAACAAAACAGAACACCACACCTTTAGCAAAACCTCACAAATGAAACCAGTTCCCAAAACTCTATTTCCAAGGAGAGCAAAAATCTTCTTCAATGTCCATGTCATCACTCACCGAAAAAAATTTTATAGAAAATTTTATTCAACATACAACATTTTCCAGCAAAAAAAGGCAATATACAGGAAGAGTTGTTGTACACTGCGGCTACAGAAACAAAATAAAATACTGGAAAAGAATGTAAAATTAAGTGTGAATTGCTGATTCTATCTTTACTGCACTCAAAACTAGACACGCGGCTGGCATTAGCTCCAAAAGAAAAGGAAGCAGTCTGGGGACTGAAATAAAACTACACACAATGAATATCAACATCAGTGAAATTCACTTGCAGACTCACCCAATAAAATTAACCTCCATGTGTTAAATTGTACATGTTCATTCATTAAATATACAATTTCATTTTTCTTTTTTTTCTTTTTTTTTTTTTTATTTTCCTCCTTTTTTATACAAAGTCAACAGCTTACTAAACACTAGTGAGCATGCCCTCTGTGCTAAAAGGCTAGTTCTTGTGTTTTCCCCATCTCTTCCCATGGCAACTAAATTAATGGTATTTATAATCTTTTCACTTGCTTTTGCCAACTTTTGAGTGTCATTCTATTTGCCAGAAGATGGCATAATAAATCGCAACAGTGTTTATCAATGGTTGGAAATTTAATAAAAAGACCCAAATATCTTTCTTTTTAGGACTCAGGGCATCCACTTGGCAAAACGGGACGCAAAGTAGTGACTAAATTAAACGAAAACTAGTTTATTAAAAAAGATTCTATGCAGCTGGAGGAGACAAAAATCCCGAATAAGTGCCAACAATGTACACAATGAAGTAGAGATTGCTATTTATTGATGATGTGAGTTTTTTGCATTTACAAATGCACAAAAATGTCATTTAAAGTATAACTGAAGGAAATAAATCTGATGTGAGTCTAAACATAAGACTTACTAGCTGCAGTGATGGTGAACACCATACTGGGATGGGCAGCCAGCCAGCTTATGCCATCTATAAACGTACTACAGACAAATATTTTGCCAATGTCAACTGTTCTACTAAACTCTTCCCTCATTATGCTGACAATTGCCTTGCATTATGTTTACCATAAAATAACTCTCATTGGCATCCAAGCTTTATAAAAACACCTTCATTTTGCTCAAAAAGGGCAGTCAATAGATACAGAGAAGCCAAACTGAACAGCCTCAACAAAATAAAATTAACATCAGCAGCAAATCCTCTTGCTGAAGACTTCAGATATAGTGCACGTGTACCAAAGTTCTACAGTTGTTAAAAAGGTGCACACACACACTTATTTTTGTCCCTTGCCTTGACAATCTGGTTAAGTAAGTCAGTTATGGATCTTAATAGCTTTTTCAAGGTAAGTGTAGCGACTTCTCTTTGGGGCTTTATTGAAATGGTCAAGCCCTAGCCATGGCCTTGGATGAGACATGTTGCCTAGAAAAGAAAAGAGAGAAAAAAAATAGTAAGTTTTAAGACTAAACTGGAAAGTTTCCTTTACACAAACTACTCCTGTGTGCCCTGTTCACAGTTTGCAAGGAATCCCAAGGTGTGGAAGAGGGCTGCAGAAAAGTCCTATAGTCCACAGCCAACAGGCTGGCATTCCTTGCCACTGCTTTCCTTCCAGTGACACATTTGACAGCAGTTTCTGGATCAGGCAGCTGGTTCATTCTTCTTCAGTCAGTTACAGGAGTTTACAGCAGTGAAATGGGTGCTAAAGAGAACTACTGTTATAATGTATGGCCACAGGCACATCAAAATATCAGCTTCCACCAAAGTGCTGAGCCTCTGAAACAGGAAGGCATTCAGCATCCAACTATGACAACATACACTCTGCCATACTAGAAATTCTCTCTGCTCTATTAATTTAGTCTCATCACCTGATATGGAAATGTTTGTTGAATTCATGTAAAATGCAAATAATCAGTTAACATATCATGTAACTGACCTCTATCTTCTGAGGAAAAAAAATTAGTCATACTCAGACTGTACAGAAAACATACAGATTTCTTTTCTCTTGTTCAACCCAATAGAGTTTTATCTACCACCATTTTTCATGAAAATCCACAGTCCAAAGACTTCTTGCAAATGGGAAAAATTCTCTTTTAAGATGTCCTCAATGCAGAGCATCACATGTGCTTTGAAGTGAAATGATAAAGGCAGAAACTAAATAGCCCCCCAGCAAGAAAAGCACACTCCTACATTCAAAGCCATCAACTGCAACCACTAAAGCATAAAACACTTGACCTTTCTGGTTGCCTGCATCGGCATTTTTGGATATGTTTTCTTCAATCAAAAGAGTCTGTCATTTTGTTTGACATAATAGTCAATGCCAAACATAAAACAGAATTGCCAATCTTGCTGAGATCACCTGAATGTCTTTTAAAGAAACAGTTTAAGTCCTACACTTAGTGCCTGGACAATTGTTGCTAGAGTGCATCTTTGTAAAAGCAGATGGAAACTATTGCCATCAGCTACATCAATCAAATTAGACAATGCCAAAGCTTTGGTTTAATCAGTCCAGCATGTGTTCAAATTTGGTATTTGTAGAAATATGTGAGCCCCGCTCCTTAAAATACTACTTAGATAAAAAGGCATAAGTGTATCATATCACCCCATACAAGAATTGCAGGGGTGGTGGGATGAATTCTATCAAAGGGGCAACTTCCCGTGAGCTCTTAAAGCCCCTTAATACCTCATTCCCTACAACTCCTACAAACAGTTCAAGTTTTCCCTTTTCCAGTTTCTGCCATGTTCTGTACTTTTGGCCTAGTTACCTGGTTAGTCTTTCGTACTGTTTTGGCCATACTGGCTCTGCTTTGTTCAGAATGTCCAACAGTTTCAGACTATTGCCTTCCCCTATGGAAGATGACTCACAGAATAAAATCAGGACTCTGCCTGCTCTGAGCACACAAGAGAGAGTTTATCTGCCCATGGAGAAATGTCCACCCCCGAGTTCGTCATCCAGAGACTCCTCACAGCTAGTGCAGAAAAAGAGGTCCCTGCAGTGACACATGCCTCTGCTCACAGATGACTTGTGCAGATAGATGCAGGCATTCAAAGCTTTGGCAAGTCCTCTTGTATTCACAGCCATAAACCTGGCTGTGTAACATACCACAACCAGAGAATGTTTAGCTAGGTTCCTGCAAAGTACTCAGTAACAGTATAGGTCTTGCCCTCTGTGGGTTTTGAAATAAAGGAACAGTTACAGGATTTCTTTACAACTGTTACATAAATCCAAAATACAGCTTGGAAAAAAAAACAAAACCCCAAAAAAACAAAGAGTGAAAGTTTGGCCCTAGCATAACCTGCCAACAACCACCAGAGCTCATGACTGTCAGAAAAACAGAACTGCAGAGAGCAAGGTGTCCTCGATCTCATTTCTACCAGACAGAGCAGCTCACAAAAAGGAACACTCAGCTAAACTAGGGGGCAAAAACCCCAGTGAATTCAAGGCTTTCAACAGAGCCCTGACTGCAGGATTCAATAGTGCCATTCCCAACTGAAACTCTCAAGTTCCACTGTGGTGGAATTCTTGAATTATTAACCTAGTTTCCCCTATGTGTAAATCCCTCCCAGAATACGGCTTTAAACATCAGCCAAGTAAACAAGATGGTAGACCATCCACAGACAAATTCAGAACACAGCTGCATTTGTACCTTGGTGGATCAGCTTTTAGGAAAATAATCTAAACAGCCTCCTATTCACATATGCAATATTCCTGTTAGATTCTCCAGATGCATTGAAGATATCAAGAACAAAGAAGATAAAGAACTTCAGTGAATGAGAGTTCAAATATCTCTTTGCAGCACATTCAAAATAAGGATCTTATGATAATGCACCTTAATGCAACAAAATGAGTAACAAAATGTTACTCCAGTAACAATGTGAGAATCAAACATACAAGGGAGCAGATGGACAGTACAGATAAGGAACAACTGACATTGTTACTCTCTTCTGAAAAGTATGTCAATATTGATATTGACCCATTTAGTCACTCAAATGCAAACTTTCAACTCAGAAGGAAACAGATTTAGTTATTTGTATGCCTATAAAATACAAATTCTCAGGCTAACATATACACTTAAGTGTGTGCACAAGTGTATATAAATACTTGCTTATTTATTACATATATTTTATATACAAAGAACAAACTATTTCTGCATCCTGAATTAAGGATAATCTCATTACAACAACTGGCAGAGCAACTTCAGCAGGTCAAAAGAATAGTGAGGTTATCTAACAACTCACCAGGTTGGGGCTCAAAGTCTTTCAAGTTCACTTCATACTCATCTTCATTGAGATATTGGTGTCGGCCCATCATTACAATTGCAAATTTAAACTATGAAAAGGGGGAAAAAAAGGCAGCTAGTAAGATACCACATTAAAATAAAGCCTTCAAGTCTAATTTCATAGTCTAACTTGCAGCTCACTGTAAGTAGTATTCTTCAGAGGTTGGTAAAGGCCAATCCTGCTTAAAATTGTCATCAACAACCTGCATAATGGGATAAAATGAATGCTCAGGAAATCATGAACCTGCTTCTGCAGTACTGTGTCCAGGTTCAGGCCCTAAGAGATAGTAACAAACTGCAGCAAGTCCAGCAAGACAGTTGGGGGATGGAACATACAAGAAGTTAAGGGAAATGGATTTAGCCCAAAGAAAAGGGGAAAAGGGGCACCCAGTCCTCCACCAACTGTGGGATTTTACACAGAAACAGACTTTTCTCAAAGAGCTGTACAGCAAAAAGACAACAGGCGACCATTACAAGTTGCAAAATGAAAAATTCTGATTACGTATAAGGAAAACCAAAGTCTTCACAATGACTGTGGTAATGCTCTAACACACAGTGTCCAGAACATGACACAATTCCCATCCCTGCCAGTTTTCAAAACCCTGAGCAACCTGACTTAACTTTAAGCTAGTTCTGCTCCGAGCAGGAACCTGAAGTGAGTGGCCTCTAGGGGTCCTGCACTATCTAAACTTTCATAGGTTACTTCAATGTTTTGCCAAGAATCTCTTTAGATGCATGACAAGAACACTTCTACACATCCTACCTAATTATTCTCAGAAACAGCATTATTAAGTCAAACAACTGTTCAATTGATCAAAATTTACACTTATCCCAAATCTGTGGTATTTCAACTTAAAATAAACTCCTTTAGGGCCTATAATCATCAATAAACTCTCATAATTTGCCATTACCTTTTCAAATTCTTTTTCTTGTATGTCCAGCATTGTCTGAATCCGCTTCATAACCTCTCTGAAGTGCTCACCCTGAAAGTTTCAACAAAATTTTCAGTATCAGAAAAATATAGGGATGCTGTTAGTATATCCCGCTTCAAACTTCATTGAAATACGTTGCCTTAAGCTCTCAGTTACTTGCAAAACTACACCAAGTGTCAACATCATCCTCTAAAATACAGAGTTACAACACAAAACTTGCTGTAAGCTCATCCACTTTAAGTCTCTGCATAATCATGAATCAGTAACTGTCCCATAGATCAACCAAGCACTGCTAGTGATACGTGCAAGTCACGCTGAAGTTAAGAAACAAAGTTAGAATATTAGTGGCAAAACCAGAATTTGGAAAAAAACCCCAACCAGTTTTTTTACATATCTTTTCTAAGCATATTTCTTTTTAAAAGTCGCTACACCTGTGATGCTCCCACTCAATCAGTAACCTGATGTTGTTTGTTTCTGCATGCTGTGTATGTAAACTGCCAAAAAAAGTGATGGATACCATCAACTTAAAGATCAATTATACACACACACACACACACATACACTGTCATAGAAGCACTGCAAATGGTTTCCACTAGAAATCAACATGCAGGTTTTACTCCACATTGATAAAAAAAATACAGAAATACAGTAGAATTCTAGGAGATGCAGAGATGTGGACATATTTCTCATTCCCAAACCTTTAGGAAACGTATGTAATTTTCACACACACTAATGAAAGTTAGTTTAGAAGCAAATTGCTAACTGCCCCTAGAAATACACACTCTGATATTAAAAGAATCTCTGTGACATTCAGCTGGAGCAGCACCACATAAAAACTTAAGAATTGAAATCAAGCTTTCAGAATGCTTGTATTTGCTTCTAGCCCTAGAAGATAAAGCAGATCAAATCACAGAAGCTAGGAAATGCAAAGTCATCTTAGAAAATGCTAAAGGAAGCAAACTCATTTTTCATCATCACGTGTCTCAGTAAGAAACCAAGCAACCATTTCCTAGCCACTTTTGCCAACAAGTTTGCACCATGGTTACTAAAGTGGTACTAGAAATAGGATTCTGTCTTGTTGGAGAGGTGAAGGAAAGTTCTGCAGGGGGTCGAGGGTAGTATTGTTTTAATGGCATTTCAAGTCCTCAGGCATAGTTTCTAGATATTGCACACGCTCACTGAAACACAAACCAGTCTGTATATGTAAAAGAGAACTGGGATGGCAAATGATTTAAGTGTAAAAAGGCATATATGGGGCAGAACCTTTTATACAAGAGCAATATTTTTCTATACACTTGTTATAATTTCTATGACAGTACTTTATTAAAACATCATCAGTATAATCCTACTGGAAGAAAAAGGGAGGCATACTGTACCTGGTGTATCCTCAGCAAGAATGGAATTCCAAATGTCCCGAAAACCTCTTTGTGGAAATGTGCCACTGTGATTAGCATCTCATTTTCTTTATCTATATCTACCTGGTCCAGAGGAATTTCCTAGATCCAGACATAAAGTCATAACTGCAATCAGCTAAAACTTCCCTAAAAAGTAACTTACCAAATAACTAACAGCATAACTCATGTACTGTTACTGATGTAAACAAGTCTATTTGAAAGCAATCAAAAGAATCATGCAGTTTGACAGAGTCTTTTTAGAGGAGTTGCTCACCCCTGGCAGGACAGCATTTCAGCTTCCCTTACTCAATAAATACTCTCCTGGCTTTCTCAAATGGCTTTTTGGACATAGAGTCGTCTGTCGGCTGTAGTAGTAGCTGACAGCAGTCTCTCTTGTCATCTCCTCATTAAGTTTACACTGGAAGCTTTTTGTTTTTTTTTAAATTTCTGATCTTTGAGACAAGTTAACAGATTTGAATGATGAAATGTTTAAAAAAGATAAAATCACATTGCAAGTGTCAAATTTGGCTTAAGAAGCTTAAACTTAACAGAAAAGGAAACAAAGTCTTCTAAACAACTCAACTTTAGAGTATGAAAGCAGGTTCTAAGCATAAACATTTACATCATGAGTCCTCAAACTGGAATTATTGGTAAGGCAGCAAATGACCTATGCACAAACCCTTACTAAGTGTACATGTAATAATAAAAATACATAAAAAAATTCAAGAATGAAATCATTATAGGGAAGCAGATGGAACAAACAGAAAGCTTAGAAGTTTCTATCTTTAAAAATACATGCATATTATAACTTAATCTAGCTTGCTGCATGTATCACGCTATTGAAAATCAGAATCCAGCAAAGGAGAATTATCACTTCAGAGAGCTGCTTCTCTCGAAGTCAAGTTTTCAAGTTTCTGTAAGAAAGCAGTATTTACCTCTATTCGAAACGTTCGACTTGTTGCAGGTGACAAACACTCTAACAGCTCGTCTTCCTGATGGACACCAATTATTTTGTAACTTACAATTTCTAGCAGCCTTAAAAACAAACAAATAGGAAAAAGGTTAAAGCATAAAAAAATTAAATTAAAATAAAAAACCTAATCAATGCAACATTTCTTTCTCAAACGTTGAGGATTACTGAAGTCAGGATGTAAAAAGATGTTACAACCATATTTGTAAAACTTTAAATTCAGTCTTTAGTAAAAATTAAGCTGTAAAGTTAAAGGAAGTTAAATTACTGGCTCATGGCAAAACAAAGCCCCATTACATACAACTACAAAACAAAGGGTTTTTTAAATTTAGATTATTTTTAAAACTCTCTTTAAATGACCCCACTTTTAACATTTGAAAAGTGAACAGCATGAATTGGAAACGATTATTACATTGTAGGGCTACAAATGCAATTGATGAAACTTACGCATCTCAAGGATGTAACTTAATGAAATACAAAACAATGATATAAAAATTTATATTCTTAGTTAGTAAGAACTCCCTTAACAATGTGAACCCAGAAGCTTTTCATTTTTAACACAGTACCAAACTTCATTTGCTAGGAATGTTTTCCACAGTATTTTAAATTCTGTGGATACTTTTCTGTGTAAAAGCCACATGATCACACAAAAGAAATCAGAATCTTCCAGCTTTACCTTAATTTCCCTGAACCTTTTTCAGAGAGTTCTACAACTTTTTTACATTCTTCTAACAGGTCCCGCACACACCCATGCTTATCTGGATATACTGTTATTTCCTAGGGAATTTGAAATAGGAAAATCGTTAGTAAATCTGGAAATGCAAACAGACAAAGCATAGAAAACAGAAGATTCCTCATCAAAAATTCATCTTCAAAAGATAATAATGACTAAAGTGAACACCTGTGTTATCTTAATTTTTAAGAACTGCTCCAACTTTTAAACAATTATTTGTTATTGAGTTTTGGTGGTTTGGTTGTGGGAGGGTTTTTTTTTTTTAATTTACATAAGCTACAACTTTGTTCTAATTTTGTGCTGTTCAGGGACAACAGTGTGTGAACCATAATCACAGCCATACCAGCTTTGACACAGAAACGACAGCAAGTGTGTAACAGCCAGCCTCACTCACCTCTTCCCTAAATTGGCTATTTAGCCATATGCATTTAAAACTTCTTCTGTTTTCAAAATCTGTTATTTTCATTTTGAGCTTAAGGAAGAAAAGAAAAACACTTTAGGCAAACTTTGTATAGGGTAGAATTATCTTTTTTTTTTAATTCACACCAATAAAAATAAAAGACTCTTACCTGTTGATAGTAAAGTTTCTTAGGTTGCCTAGGCTTGAAGAACTGCAGAAGATCTCTTAAAGTACCTTCATAATTATGTCTAAGAGGATTACCAGGGCCATCTCTATAACTACAGCAGGAAAAAGAAAAAACACGAATATCTCTTTACAGTTCATCACTGCTCAGTAAATCAAAGTACCAAGTACATTTTTATTCCTGGCTTCCAGCTTCACATAATTGCTAGCACAGCCTAAGCAGCATTCTATTCAGTGCTTTAGTCATTTCTAAACAGGTGAGCATATGGGAACAGAAATACTGCTCACTGTGCATGTTAACCCTCTTGGACATTTACAAGCTCACCTTTAATGCTGCAGGTTGGCAGACCTATGATTCTCTGAAACTACTAGTACAGCAGCACATGCTTTAGCCTGTGAAAGGTTAATTTGTAGAGCCATATGACACAGCAAATTCCAGAGTGACCACAGCACTACCAACTATAAAGAGCTATTCAAATTATGACAGACTCATTGGTGATAGATACCTACAGATTAATAAAGAGCAATCTACATGAATACAAAAGATCATGTCATTTTTGTGTGTATTATTCCTGCAGCATATATATGTAACTACAAATATGCTGTTTTCTGCTATAGTTTTATGCAGACTCAAATCCAATTTTACACAACTGTGCCTGAGAACACCACTTTAACCAGAAATGTCCCTTTAGCAGATGTGAACTGTTTAGATCATTGTCATTTTCACAAAATCTCATTTGCAGACATTGGGGGAGGAAGGGAAATAATCACTGGAGGAATTCTGTATTTAAACCTGTAAAATCAGCAAAAATCCTGCTTTTATGTGCACTGCTCTCCCCCATTCTGGGAATCTGCATTCACTGAAATAGCACATACATTAATTTAATATCTGGTCCCATACAGTAAGGTTTTGAAGCAATTAATGATTTTATATAAAAAAGTAGTCCATCTTTTTTCAGTGACACTTGGAACTCTATTAAAATGTGCAATTCTTTGAGGGTCTAGAGCCATTCATTGCAGCACTTAAAATTGTGCAGCTTGCTGTGCATGCCAGAACACTAAGACTTTACTGGTCAAGAGTTAGTTAACTACCTGGAAAAGCTACAAAGTAACTGCCACCTATCTATAAAATACTATAATAAGTATTTTAAAAGAATAGTTTAGGCACAGAAAATTCCTCTTACCCTTGGGACTTGAAAAACTGTAATAGCATTGGATCTGTATTAAGCCTTTGCGCAACTGTCTTTGCAACCTGCAAATAAAGTTTTTGGTAAGTTCTGAATTACTACAGACAGTTGTGACATTGCTCTACAATCACAGAGTCATTCATTACACATCAATGCATTATACTACTGAAATTCTGAGAGACGCCCACTACGTCTACTTCCCCAAAGCAAAATAAACTATTATCTTTAGCTTCTGAACAGTTAATACAGAGTAAGATAGAGTAGGAAGAAAAAAATAATTAAAACAAATCACTAACACCAAAGGGCCACAAAATCCACGACAGCTCTACTCCTTCTGTTGTTTGTTTTGCTTTCATTTAAATATAGTATTATTGGGGAAATACATAGGACTTGCTCTTTGAAAATTCCCACTGTTCTTCAGTTCCCTCCAATGAAGTCAGCTTGCTGGGCAATATCACCACACTATTCCCATGTCCCATTATTTCATGTCACTGCCTCACAAAAAACATAGGGAGTCCGTATTTTTCCCTTATCAAACCCCAAAGCTATAAAGAACTTACACTTCAAGTAAAAATGAAATGAGAGAAAGCAAGTTGCTGAAAAGCAGATTACGAGAACAGGATGGTAAAAGTCATCCCTGACCTCCCCTGAGTATACAGATGCTCGAAGTTCCTGCCTTTGGTGACAGAAAATGAACTGTCTGTTGTGAAGTGATTTTTTTAACATTGAGAAAAGCAACTGCAGGACTGTAGGGGGGCAAATCTACCCAGGCTCTTAAGAGATCAGACCAACTTTACTTTAATTTTCTTTTTTTAAAAAGTTTCATTGGCCAATTTTCCTCTTCTAAAGACTCAGGTCACCCTTCAAGAACACAGCAAGTTTGATCTGTTACTGCTACTGAGCATTGAACAGCAACATGTTAAGAAGCAATAGTCTGGTCTATGAATTGAACATTGTTCCTGCTGTTACAAGCATAAAATAGGTACCACTAGATTTTCAAGGTATTTTCCTTTTAACAGCCAAACAAACCTAGCAAGTTTTACACATTACTTAGAAAGCAGATGCACAATATCACTAGAGTATTGTTTCCCTGACAGAACAGAATGGCCTATCAAGAAAGAATCCTATTGTCAAAAAAGTCATTATTAATAAAACCAGCGGGTTTTAGAGCATTTTCTTCTCACAAACATTAGTGGCTTCCTTAAATTTTTCATTACCACAATGCAAAAAAATGTACAAGAACAGATCTACTCTTTTCTAAAAGTATGCATAATGCAATGCACTTGTGAACTAGTGCAAAAGTTACTTTCAGAACAAGGAAACAAAAGCAGAGAAACAAACAGGACACGTGCCTGAAAGTAATTCATCCTATTGGATAAAGTAACAACAAAGCCTGGGTCATTTGGGATGGTTTTATCACAGAAAATGACATCCACACGATGATAGAGGTCTCGGAAGTATTCTTTAGCTGTTGGTAGCTCACTGTTATCATTTTCTGGGTCATCCCTATAAGAGCAAACAAACAATAATACCATTACATATCACACTGTTACATACACAAGCAGTCAGGGCTTTTAAAAACATGTTCTACAGTAAGTCAGCAATAGTTGAGATACACAGAAATAAAGTTTAGAAACCTCTGTAAAGAGCCACCACTTGTACACAGTAGGACTAATACAGTCAGTAGTGACCCACACCCCTGAGTATTTCTGTGTGGTGCAAGGGCAAACACACTCGCACGCTGTGCTCACTCGTTGGGCAATCTGGCAACACCCTGGATGCAGTCATTTCACAGCAGCATTCTAGCAGTTACCATCCCTCCCTCCCACCCTGGCACATCACTGCGTGTCTGTACTAACGCTGCCACAGCTTTCCAGGTACTCCTGTATTAAGGTACTCCTGCATTAACTGCTTTGCACAGAGGCCAGATGTACAACAGCATTCCTTGAGCCACAGAAGCAACAGTTGACACAGACACCGGTTTGGGTCACTACTGACTGGTACCCCTATCTTCTCAGCAGAGAAATAGCACCAGGGTACAAGCTGTGCACTTACCCAGGAGTCAGCAGCCAGCCAAAGGTGCATAACACCAACTGGGTCAACAGGGAATGCGAGTTCCAAGGCATGACATGAGAAATACATTCATCTCACATAATCTGGGGTAAGAGTGCTGAAGATAGACTAGCTGGCTTCCACCCACTGTCAGCCCATGGAGAGAAACAGAGCAACACAGTTGGGTGTGACCATCAGGAGTGAGAGCATAGAAATGCTGATTTATAGCCCTGACAAGCTTATGAAAGATCCCTTTAACGGAAACAAGATGCAGGAGTTCTCCTTTTGCCTTGGAGAAAACTCCAGTTGAAGCACCAGTACACCTATGAGTTGCATATGCTCAGGCAAACTAGGAGCATTTCATCACCGCAGACTAAGGACCTTACTGTGAGCATGAGTAAAAGGAAAAAAAGGGAAAGCAGTTTAGTTTAGTTCTAGGCTGAAAAGAGCTCCAAGCCAAGAGCCTCGTACAGTGGCAGTGGTAGTGAGCTCGAAATCTGAAATGCTGGTAGGCTCTTCATTCAGGGTCTGAATTACAGTGGCTCCCAGTAAAAAGCTGCTGAACTCGGACACATTGCTGAACCACGCTCTTTGGTAATATTAAGACCTATTTATATAGTTACTAATTTTCTGAACTAGGACAAAACCTTATTTTTCTTAACTAATGTGGCATGTGATGATTAAAATAATGGTAGATTTTTTTTGTTTCTCCTTCGACTAAACAAACGAGAACTGCTGAGAACATGTCTACTGTTGGAAAACTACTTTGCTACTGTTAAAAAAGCTAAGTTAAAGAAGTTCTGCTTTCAAAGTGAACCAGGTGATTTAACTGCAACGATAAGCCAGCCCCTTAAAATACATACTTCTGAAACACTATGATGTCGCCATCCATGAGTTCATCCAGAGCTTTATCAAGAGATACATCATAGTCTTGAATCCTTTCTGTTAAATTGGGTTTAACTTCCTGTAATAAAGAAAAAAAACTGCTGATCCCAGGATAAAAATAAAACGCAAAAATAAAGGTCACAACAGCAAAGAAATCATTAAAGTAATCTGTGTCTTCTTTCAATTGAAACAAACACACACACACACACACACACAAAATCAGACGTAATCTTAGCTAAGGTCCAGATACATCTAATTGCTACTGATAAAGCTGGCTGCTCATTTTTACCTTTGGTGTCTCCCTCAATTTATACTAATTTTCAGAAGTATTTTATCATTCAGCATTATCTTGTTAGCACTAAAAATTTTCCAAAATTCAGAGATTAATTTTCTACTGATGCAGCTTCCAGGAAACTTAGAGAACATTGACTATGCTCACTTATTTTTAATAGTGCAGAACTTCTGTATAGCAAATCGCTTGTCTTTTTTAATTAAAAAAAAAAAAAAAAAAAAAAAAAAAAAGAGAGAAACAAAACCCAAAACAAAGCTGTATTAAAAATGCACATACTATAAAATATCTACATGCATATTATGTATTTATACTTGTAGGTTGATCTCCTGGGATAAAAAAAACCCTGTCTAAACAAACTGGAGTCAATCTGCAGCCTTGACTGGCATAGACTAGAGTACCTGACAGTTCTGCTTTTTAGGATGGAAGAGTGTAGGCTGCCCTGGAACCACCAGAGAGAGGAGTGCAACTAACAAAAATCACAAAAACACCCAATACTTGCTTGTTCTTACTATAGCAAGGACTTTGCCTTGGCAAGATCTGCATTTTCAGCATTCATTAAATACAGCAGTTATAAAGATGTACTATTTCTGTAGTTGGGCAGAAACATGTCAGCAGGCTAAGTATTTTATTTGCCAACTTCTGACTTGGGGAAGGAAGGAGAAGATGCAACATTTTCTCAACTCCACTGTTTAAGAGGGGCATTGAAAGTATGATGGCCAACAATGTTAGCGGCATTAGTTTGTCTAACACTGCGACCTGGAGGATATGCAGATTCAGCACATCAAAGCTGCTCACGCAGGACTTCATGTAGAAATTTTTTGGTTTTAAAGCCTCACACTTCTGGGTGTTTAATCTGAAATCTGTTTTGAAGTTAACTGTGTGCTGCTACTCTCTGGAAGCACTGCAGACTTCACAGCTACAGGGTACAGAGTAGTTATGATTTATAAATTATCATTGTTATGAGCAACCTTTTTTTAACCAATGAAGCTTTTTCCCCCTCTAGTTATACCATTTAAAAGACAAAAATGTTACAAAAAAAAAACCAAAAAAAAAATCTATCAGTCCAAACCTCATAGAGGATAAGGTTAGTTTCTTGTGGAAATCCTGCTCTCTCACACATAACTGGAAGCAAGTCACCTACAGGAAAAGAAAAGGAACGTGAAATGTATTGCGCTTTAACTGCTAGCGAGACTTCCAGCAAAAAGAAGAGAACCTATTTTTCTACCCTGGATAAATAGTTTAAAAATGTCTGAGAGCCTTCTAGGTTAAAGCTTCACTTACTGACATTCAACCCAAAGACAGACTTTAAGGTTTCCTTCCACTTCATCTGAACAACAACAAAATATGTGCAAGGCCATCCAAGATCAAAAGAGATGAAGTAACACTGCTCCTTCCCCAGAGAAAAATTTTAATCTCTTACGAGAGCACTAGAATACAAACATCAGAAAGCATGTACAACTCAACAAAATGAGACATTCTAATTGACAAATAGAAGTATTTGTACTCAGTGGATGGTTGCTGAATTCTTTACATAGACCCATATGAAAACCAAGGCTCACACTCAATTCAGTCTGAGCAGCTGTTCTCAGGCGATCATACTGAGAAGTTGTAGAAGAGTTATTTTAAAGGCTATTGCAGGAGCAAATTCCACAAGAAAACCCCTTGAAATAGAAAAAAACCTGAAGAGCGATATTAAAACTAATAAAATTAAAACAAATATTAAAACTAGAAAAGATATGCAATCCATTGTCTTTAAAAAATTTCAAATGTAGCCATGAAATTGAATTTTAGTACTCACGTATTTTACAGGATATAGGCGTGTAGATATGTCCACAATAATTCAAACTCCGAGTCTTCGGATCATACATCTTCAGAAACAACATTACATCATCTACAAATTAAGAAACAAGACTTAAAATGAAGTAAGGCTTATTTGGAGAGTGAGGGTGGGGATACGACCTCAGTATTCTTTGAACTGTAAGAAAGGTATGCCTGATTTATTAATTTGATCAGCATCCTTAAGAACATTCTTAAATGCTGATTTTTATAAGCCAACTTTATACAGTTAAATTTTTCCAGCGATTCTGAAAACATGTGAATTTTCTGAGACATACTCAACATAAATGTATTTTGTATTTACTAAGTGTTAGCATATATGCTTACGATCTTTATCAAACTTGGGTAATGTTGCTCCAGTAGCAGCCATTTCTGGATCTACTGTTTCCAAAAATATTGTCCATGGATTTTCATTGTCACTGAGCTCAATCATCTATATAGAAAGATACAGAAGAAGAAAAAAAAATCTCTGGGAAATATAATATATAACCAGATATCTGCATTTTCATCAGATACAAGAACTTTATGACATTCTATGAGTGGGAGATTTATTTTTTTTTTTAGTTGCAATAATGACAGGAATTCTATGAAGTTTATTAAGAGAAACAATGACAGATATAAAAACACCAAAAAAGTTCCAATGAAGCACAAATGATAGGTTTTATTTAAAACTGACCTATTTTTTTGGTCATTTAAAAAAATATACTTACAGCTATTTTTATTATGGCAAGAAAATTACTTCTAGAGAAGTAACAGGACAGTGAAACCAATCACTGTTTTCTGTGGTATTTTAACTCAATGTTTTACAATTTAAGCAACACATTTCATTAATCCAGGTTTTTACCCAAATAACGGAGGACTCAAAAAGACACTTTTGTTTGAAATCTGACATAAAAGTAATTATCCTTTTTTTTTTCTTCATGGAAGATTAATCACAGACCACACTCCTGCCTCCCATCCAAGTCAATCCACTAAATCTCAAGTCTTCTCAAATACTAAACTTTACCAGATACAGGTTAAATTAAACCTCTGAAAACTCCAATGTCCCAAATGTGCAGATTCTTAGGCGACTAAAAATCATGGGACATTTAAAGAAATAATGTCCTCAATATTTACCGTTTTACAGCCATCTGCTTCATTATCTAACATTGCAGGTCTTTTTGTTCCATTACTTCTAGCTTGCATTGGCCATAATCTGATTTGATCCTGGGGAAATCCCTAAAATAAACAGAAATTGTGACAGGAAACAAACAAACAGACAACGATACTTTTATTAAACCTAAACAGTTCTTCTATTTTAAAAGGTCCAAATTATTACTGCTGCCAATACTTGGAGAGGATAAAGACCACAAAGCAATCCTAACGTAATAAAATACACATAGATATTCAGCTCAGAAAACTTACCATTGTTTGAGAGAGATTTTGAACAAATTCTGTAAGTGTGGAGTTTTTTAATACTTTGAAAACAGTGTATTTTACTTTTTCTTCATCATACATGTCATTGCCTTGGTGACCACAGAACTGATCCTCTGCCACTATCTGGAAAATCACATTTAAAGGTTACTATTCATGTTAACTTAGCTGCATAATGTAGTAGCTTCTCATGATGCTTTACTATGCAACATCACTGGCTCTCTGTATAGTGGCACAGTGCTAACAAAATTTATGTTCTCATGAAGAAAATTTGCAAGTATACAGACTCTAATGAATTATTTAAAATTGTGATTGATAGTCAAATCAGTGTAAGTAATTAAAATACAGTAATTCTTACAAATCTCGCACAATTAAAACCAGTTGTGCTTAGATCTCAATCTTGAAAACATGTGCTCTAACAATCTTGGCACTTAAAAAAAGGCTACATAATTATTCTACTCTTGTAATGCAAGGAGGCTGGCCTAAAATGCCTCCTAGATCTCCCACAGCTCCCATGCATTCTTGGTTAAGAGAAAGACAAACTGTGCAACTCTGCCAGTCTCTCCACTGAAAACAGCTCTAGTGTAACTGCAGTGTAGAACAAGCTAAGCTTCACTGATATCTGTGCTTATGAGCACCAGAAATAAGATGGAAGGAAGCATGGAGGCAAATGGAAAATGGGTTCTATTTTCCTGTGCCAGGTGGGCTCTGGAAAGAGCCATAAACAGGGTTCCTTAAGGCAATTCATAACAATCTAGTCCATCTGGCTTTTCCAAAAAGGTAATTGCAAATATAAGCACTCTCTCCTTCTGCTTCTACTTGATGAGCTCAGGTTGGCAGTAGTCCAGGCTTGCAGCCTATGGGTAGATACATTCTAATTTTAGAAAATAACTCCTGAAGGAGGTAAAAGTGCAGTGGCAGGGAGCCATTTAAAATAACCTGGTCCTCTTCCCTTCACCTGAACTTACTATTACTTGCAAGCACATAACTTCTAGAGAAAACAGACATGTCTACAACATACATTACTGTGTGTTTCATTAGGATTAATAGCACATGTAAATATACTTACAAGCACTAAAATTGTAATTTCATTTTAAACGCTACTTCCAAACACAAATTTAAATAATTAAAAACAAGGTTTGCCTTTGGTGGCTCAACATTCTGAATTTTAATGGTAAGGTAGTTGCAATTTGATCTGTTTCAAAAGCTGACCTGCACTTGCATGTAGAGGTGAGCTTCCTGCCTCTCCTTCCTCTTCTGCGCTTCTATCCTTTTCTCTTCTTGTAGCCTTTCTACAAGTTGTTGAGGAATATCATGGTCCGTGACAGGCTGCAAAACTTCACCTACAAAGCAGATTTTGAGATGTCATTTCAAGATTTATATCAAACAGGGTTTTCTTCAGACACATTTGACTTTCCTCTGATTTGAAGTCAAAACCAGCTTTTTTCATCTTTTATTTAAACCCATGGTTTGATATCAACATATTTTGGCAAAAGAAGCCTCTTCTATCCCACGCCAAAATGTAGTACTTCCATGAAGTATCTATCACAGACTTCTGAATTAAATATGCATTTCAGAGTTAGAAAAAATATTCAGTGCCACTCAATTTTTTTTTTTATACAAGTATGTACATATTTGTAATTAATTTGATTCAGTTCCCATCACTGAAGGTAGCTCAATATTTTTTCCATCCTTTAAAACCCAAGGCTGGGCACTTTGCAGATACACAATCCTGCCTTACTGTGCTAAGACAAGACGTCTAGATTAGCACATACTTGCCAAAAGACAGGAAGGCCACAGAATCTATAAATTCTAACACCAACAAATGAAGTCCCTTTGCATAGAAAGACTGTCAAGAATCCATAAGTAAAATATAGCCCTAAATCCCTGTATGTAAAGCTAACTTGGAACACACAGCGAGTATACATACTTAATTTGGATTCCCTGATGTAAACCAACATGTAGGCATTCGTACAGTGCCGTACAGATAAGTCATCGTCATGACCTCCATAGTTGTGTTCAATCGCTTCTTCCTTTGTACATCGTGATACAACATCATCGTCGAATTTACACCACTAGAGAGAAAATTTTACAAAAATACAATTTTACACACCACACAAAAACATGTGTATGCTGAATGGTAAATTATTCCTATTTCTGACAGGTCTCCTTGAAGTAATTAAAACAGCTCTCCAAGCGGCATGAGTTTAAAAAAAACCCCCTAGTTCAGTATAATTTGCACTACCTGCTACTGGTGCTCAGCGTAAGGCAGGCTGTAAATACCAAACCTTTACTGAAATAGTTGAACATTTTACACTGAATATCAAAAGCCCAATAATTATTCGACAAATTTTACCTTGAAACAGTTACTCAAATATCTAACATTTCTATATGAATCAGAAAATTGACCTTATTTCTTGTAAAGTAATATAAAAAGCAGTGATGCACAAGATATCTAGTAATTATTTGTACATTTAATTTACAGCAAATTTTCAATTAAAACAATAAAGCCAATTAAGAATCAAAGACAAACAGTAAGAAACTCACAGCAAAAACTGACTTCTACTTTTACTGTGAACAGACATATACATACAAGCACAGCCAACTTAAGAGAAGAGGCATCTGAGCTATAAACAACAGATACAGTTAATTCACCTAAACTTGTAACAGTGGGACATGCAAAGCTATTGAACTTCCGAATCATGGCAACATTTGAAACATTCGTATTTGCTTCAGCATGAAGTCAGCCTAACAAAGAACGCTGGATAAAATCTGACTGCAGAACTTCAACACATACACACACAGCTGAAGGGATTCCCTTAGTTAAAAGTGTTTTGCCAAAAACCTGTAATAGCAACGATGAAGCTGCTCCTCTTAAGAAGGCAACTGATTGCTTTACTGCCTCCAAATGCAGGCTCCTCCCTAAGGAGCAAAACCTAGACAAGTGGGCTGTTGGCTTTTCTTTTTTGTAAATAAGAACTAAGTTTTCCAAATACATTTGAACAGGCACCAAATGAAAGAGTACCAAGCTAAGAACTAAACGGAGAAGTCAACCCACTGTGTGATGAGGTGAGTGTGCCTGTTAGGGAACAAATATTCAAAGAACAAAGATTTTCCCATTACAAAACCCACAAGTATTTGCAAAGCACAAATACATTCCGGTGCTTTTCAATACTCACTTTGCCATCCCCTTTTGGATTTAAGTAAACAACGTAATGTCCGCCATGGTTATCTCCACTGTGTACCAGAACTGCATGAAGAATGTAATTTGCAGGATCCTTAGGATCTGTTTTTTGCAAAAATTCATCTAGTGGCAACTGTTCAGGAAACTCAAACCTAGTTTCGAAAAGAAGTAAGACAGTCATATTCATAGTTAAGACAGATGCATGCTACTACGAAGGACATCAGTACTTATTCCTAAAGCATGTTGCAAAACCTGAACAAGTTACTGCTACAATGCCATTTCTATCCAGGATACACTGCTTACGGTGGCGGATTTTATACTGGTTTAATATGGAATAACCTTCATAAGCACCTCTGAAAAAGTATGCCCTCAGTTACAAGAGTAAGAGTACTTGAACTGAAATAGCACTGGTTTAGATTCACTGTGTCAAGGAAACAAGCTCAGAAGCTGTTATTTTCTAGTACATAAATACAGCTTTCCTAGCACAGGTAACACTGGACTGGAACATTATTTTGAGATGTCTTTCAGCTGCTGTAGTCAACCTTTCTTGGCAAGACCAAAATTGTTGCAATACAGATTTGGTTTACAATCAACAATGCATCTCCTTGAGAAATTACCAGCCTCTACTTACAGTGAGCGGGCACAGAAATAAAATGGCAAAAGCAAAGGACTACTTATTCATCCTACTTACCCTGGTGACAGCCTATGGGAATGCAGCAACTTCCCACACGTGCCACAAAGAATATTCCACAAAGTGTTAAAAGATGCATTTACTTGTTTTGTATTCAAAACATCAGCTACAAGTAACTCTTTAAGTATCGAATTTGTTATTCAGAACCTGAACATAAAATCAGTGCAGTTTTTGGGGATCTCCACCACATGTGACTGCACACACCCTCCTGGGAGTTGAATCCAAAATAGGATTTTGGCAGAGTCCTTTTGGTAAAATACATTCACAGGTCCAAATGCTACAGTGAACACCAACACCCCCCCAAAGCACAACAAACACGCCACCAGAAGTTACCTGTCATTTATCTTGATGTTTTGGTCAGTCTGAGGATCATACATAAATCTCATGAGCTGTAGGTGTAATACTGGTGGCAATGTTAGGAACTTCACACCTTTCTCTGCCTCCTAGACATTTTAAAGGAAACAGACATTTGACACTGCAACATTTTTAGCAACTCTCAATACTTGTTTGCTACAGACGCTCTCCTTGTGGGCTTTTATTTTACAGGCTTGACAGCACAATGTGCACCAAAGAATGGTTCAAACCTTGGGGGGAAGTTAACTATTGTAACACTGCACCAACCTTCTCAAGAGCTATGCCAATAACACTTACAACTCAAATTTAGGCCATTCATACAAGCATATGTGATCACCTCACTGCAATAAGGGCAGATTATCTGTATAAACAACATTAAAAGAGAATACAAAGGCAAAAACTCTATTTTGATCAACTAAAGATTTCACATTCGTTGTATCCTGCAAACAAGTATGTGGCTACCATGCTGCACCTTCCCAAGAACAGCTGAAGAATACATACTACATCACTGACAAAACCTGGTATACGGAAGCTGCAGAAATAAGCTTTAGTAAAACACATTTTTTTGTAAGGGACTTCAGCTTCCTGCGGTGGGTGCAGCAAAGTACAGCTGAAAAGCTAAGAAATACGTGCACACACACAAATGTGCAACATTCCAGGGGTTCATGTGGTGTTCTTGTTGGGGATACAAAAATGACTCTCTAACATTACTCTAAGAGACATGCCATTATTTTACAAGATACATAGAAGAACAGACTTCTCTTAAAGGAAGAACTTCTCAGTCCTGAGGTCAGCAGAGAAGTTCAGCATTCTAGTCACTACAACACATGTATAAGAATAAAACTCACTGCTAATTAGATTGTTTTAAAATCCAAGCTCCATTTTAAGAAATCTAACAGATACTGAGAGGAGCTACATAAAAGGTTGTCTAAGGAGAAACACCACCAAAATCAGTTGATACAACCTAGAATGGGTTTTGCAACATTTTTTGGCCACCATAGCTTTCTTATTCTATCAAGGACAGAGAAATAAAATTTAAAAACCACTTAGAAGAATACCTGCAAGCCATGTTCTCCTGCATCATACTTGTTATCACCATCCAACTGTTCCACTGCAACGTAGTCAATGAAGGACTCAAAAACTAAAAGAAAATAAGATGAGGGAATTGTAGGGAATGAGGAAGAAAAATGCACGTGAACTCTAGCCTGAGGGCTTAACAATGTGTTAATCAAACAACATTAAAACATGAGTTCATGTTTGAATATTTGTCTTTATTGAAATTAAAAATTCATACTACTTAGTAATGTCACAAAATGCACCAGACTGTAGGAGCTATCACTGCAAATGAGAATATCAACAGATTTTTGAATCACATAGTTACAGCTGTCTGCCAAATCTCCCGTTCTCACTTTGCAACTGTTAAGTATCAAGGCTAGATGATTCCATTTGCTAGACTCTTACTTAGCCTTTTCCGTGTCTTGTTTGCCAAGTACTTGGTAAAGTGATGATAGGGATCATTGTTATGCTGCTCCAATTAGTTCACTTCTTTTATTTGCTTACTTGTCAGGTCCAAAGGAGAATTTATTTCCTCCAAGTTCAACTTCATACATAAATTATAACCTATTGTGACTCTACTGTTACCACCACAGCACAGTAAGCACCAGGAAAACTCCTAAAATTCATAGTTTTATGAAAACATATCAGTGAGAGAATTGGAGAGGAAGAGAAATGGAAGAAGGGATAAAAGGTAACATAAGCAAAAAACATTTTCTGCAGAAAATGTTTTCAATGAGGTGTCTTAAAACAAGGCTATTTCAAAGTGCTGAGCACCAGGAAACCCATCTGAAATCAACAGGCACTAAAGATGTCCAACACGTTGAAGTATTTGACTGGTGCATATGACTTACTATTTTTCTTTCCCTTTATACTTAGCTGGATGTCATAATAATCTTCTATTCGTTCAGATCGATAGTCTACGTGTTTGCATTGGATATAAGACTGTAAATAACAAGAGAAACATACAGTTTCAATGTATAAAGTAACACCTAATTTAAATTATTTAAATAACCCCCCCCTAAAGGATTAAATACATACCACCATCTTCCCTCGGAACAATTTAGGAATAGTGCCTTCTACACATGTGCCTTTCATTTTATTTTCCACGTTGTCAAGCAGCTGAAAGAAAAATTAGTTTTTACATAGGATAAACTTGCAGGTTTTGGTGACTACTTCACTGATTAAGTCACCTACATAAAAATGAAATATTAGTCTACTCTTATTGGCATCTCCTTTATAGTCCTTTAAATCCTTGTCTTCCCCCTAAAAACTGCACTGCTACGTTCCTTTGAGCCTGGAAAAAACTCACAAATGTAACAATGTATTTGCATCTTCAAAACTACATTTCTCTCCATGGCTATACAAGGACCATGAGAATACAATCCTTTTATTTTCAGCCTTTTCTATCCTTTATAAATTCCTCACCCACAAAAGGCCACATCAATCCCATTCTTAAAAAAAGACAAATAAACCCAGGCAAACCCTCTGCGTCTTGGAGACCTAGCTTAAATTAATCAGTACATGCCAGTACTGCTAGGATTGTTACTATGTTATATTATGTATACACAATATCAAGAGACAAACCACAGTTTAGTAAGAAATAGTAAAAACATACCACTCGACATAATTCCTGGACATCGTGTTGCATGAAGCTGTCTAAAGTTTCCCACCTTTGTAAGGCAAATTAATACAAATTACTATATTATGCAGAAAACTTACAGCTCAAAAGACTTTTCTGTGATTTCTTTGCAGATCAAGAATGTAATACTTTGCAAGATGTAAAGACTGAGATTTAGTACTGGCTGATGCACAGTTTTTTTTAGTCCTGCAGCAGTTACTCAGCAGACAGAAGAGGCAGTGAACTTGTGGGACATTCTGACAGCTGGATATGCCCAAGTGCCTTCCCTCTCTGTGGATTTGGGGACAGGCACTGGGAAGGCAGCTGGAGCCAGCCAAAGAGGCCACGGGCAGGCTGCTGCTAGCAGAATTCTTCTTCCAGTCCACAACTTAGTCTCAGTTCATGTCAAAAACCTCTGAGGAAAAGGCTTGGGACCAATTCAAGGCTGTCAGAATAGATTCCACAGAAGCTTGCTTCTAGCTGCCTCTCTTCTGAGGGCCCTTTCAGGTGCAGTCAAATAGTGTTCAGGGATTATTGCAGCACACGAAAAGAAGTAAATGGATTTATAGGAAATACTGTCTCCTTTGTGCTCATCTAAACAGTTAATCCTGAATGCACAGTGCCTTCAAGGACCCAAGGAGGCATCCAGCTTCCTGAACTGTCTGTGTGCAAACACAGTCATGTGAACGGAGGGGCGAGAGCAACAGCCTGGCATGCTGCAACAAGGGTATTCAGCACTGCCGCCTCGAATGAAAAAAGCAGCATAAAGTAGTTTTATAGTTTCCATATGAAATATTTTATCCTATGAACTCTTTAACCTAAACTCAAGAATGCTTTTTAAGTCTCTGACAACTAATTTTCAAGTCATCATTCCTAGCCATAGGAGATAACCTATGTTTACTGTAGGCTCCAGCTTTAACATGAAGTTCAACCCCAACTCTTGAAGCCATAATCACAGGGGTGATCAGGAACAATACCAACTTTACCTTTCCCTCCCATTTTCTTCTCACTGACTCACTGCCACTGTCACAGGGCAGCGTACTACTCCCAAAAGTGTGCCAAAACAACTGTATAGTGGCCCACACTTAAGCTGAAGGAAGGGACCTGCTGCATAATTAAGAATGAAGAATGGAAAATAATCTCCTGACTCCCTAGGCTTTAAATACTAGCCAGCTTAAAGGTTACATACTAATATTAGGATAAAATGGGGTTCCTTCAGACAATGGATTTGCTTCCTACTGAAAGCAACCAAACTTACTTAGAAACTCTCAATGCCCAGCATGTAGGTAGACCTCTCAAGGTCAGAAACCCTTCTCTGATTTAATATGGGGCAAAAGACCAAATCTTTAAGCATAATCTAAACTTCCTTCCCAAGAATGAAGGCAGGCATGAACACACTTCTAAAACCTTGCTCTCAGATAAAAAATTAAGCATCTGCAACACCCTTGGAAAAAGTCTTTTCATGCTACTAAAGATGACACAGTTGGATCTTAAGTCAAGACGAAATATTTACGGTATTATCAAATCCTTCCAGTGTAACAGGACAGCACAAATAAACTAAATAAACTTAATACACAGTGTGCTAATAGGAAGAGGGTATGACCAGGTAAACATACAACACTGAGGTGTTTGAGGTGGTCTCATTTTTAAATTCTCCAACAGGTGAAAATTAAAGGTTATAATGATGCAATGTTACAAAGAGTCTTGTCAGTATAGAGCACTAGTATAAGCTTTAGCAGAACATGCAGGATGGACACAATATGAAAATGACAATACAAACTTCCCAACTTGTTTTTAAATAAAATGCTTGTCAATATTAATACAATAGTCTACAAATACAGTGCAAAGCAATGAAAATATGATCTTTTAGAACAGTTTTTGATAAAATCCTACTCCCTGCTTACATGACATGCAAAAAGAAGGACTGTAGAGGTTATGCTAATCTTAATCTTCTGTTCTAACTTGTGCTCAGCTTAAACATCAAGGTAGTAAAGAAAAAAAAGTCAACATCCTCAACGCAGCTATATTGTGTAATTCTAGAATTCCATGTCTAGGTGCTCTAGATTTAAAATTACACTCTGTAATTTTAAAATTACACTGTCTCACAAGAAGTACCACCAGACTGGAAAAAAACCACCAGTCACTGAACTGGATACTAGGCAAAAATGAAAATATAATTCAAGCCCTTTTTGTAGTTGTTTTATGAAGGAAAAGAGGATGTTAGAATGAGGATAATGTGAAGAATTACTTTTGTGTGTGTGCTCAAACACCTTTACTTCATGCAACAGATACTCCTCTTAAGCTTTAAATCACAAAGCAGAATATAGCACTAAATGCTTCTAAACTGTGCATAGGCAAAAATACATGCATCTTGGATGTGCTATAAGAAAATGTTACAACAGTCATCAATGCAGAACAATAGAAAAATGTAAATTCCTGCCATTTCTCTAAATTGAAAATGGATTTAAATTATAAAAACCCCAAACAACAACACATGAACTACAAGGGTTCAACAACATATTTTGTCCTGAATTCTACGTAAGTCAAATGTGTAATGCAACTTTCAGATACCAGGTAAATTATAACCCTGCTACTACCAGCTATGTTCATGTACCTCTCCCCTTCCCCCCCAAAAAATTCTGACCTTTGGATCAGCTGTCTTTGCTAGTAACTAAAAATACAAACTTATTTAAGTAAACTAAGGAAAGTTAGCCATTAACAAACACATTAACACTTCACTGCACCTCTCTAAAACCAGCCTGATTTAAATAAAACCCTTTAAAAGAAAAGCTTCATGAAGTCTGTAATAGCCAAATAAATAGTCCAAATTTCTGCAACTTACCCAAAAGATTTTGTTAACTTTTTCGTTCCAACTGGTTTGTCACTATGTTGCAGCTCATAAAACACTCTTTGCAATGCTAAAGGAACACTTTTGGATGAATCATCTCCTTCTGTGGGCATCATGTACACAGCCTGAAAAAGCATTTAGTTCCATTAGTATCTAAGGGAAAGTTTAATGCTCATACTGTTTAATGCATTCTTTCCTCTTCAGTGATTTCCTTCATATCACTCCATTTAACCATTGCTCCAAAAGACTACAAAAAATCTCATCCTATAGTGTAAAAACATTAATTGTCTGCAATGACTCTTCTTAGCACACAGTGGTTAGAAAGATGTGAAGAACAGACTCCATTCATGGTTATTTTATCTAACTAGTTCTCTTATTCCACCCTAGAAAAGTAAATGCACTAAAGCATTCAACACCTTCAAACAACATATCACTCCTGGCATGTCTACACAATCATCACAGTAGAAACCAGATATACAGATCAATATTACAGGCTTTTGAAAATAGCCAAGCTACAGCAGAAAGCTAAGGCTACCTGTGAATACTATAACCTATAGTGCATGTGGGAAAAAAACAACAAAGAAAAACATATGAAACGATAAAGGGCTGCAAGCAAACAAAAACAGAAATGATCCACATAGAGGAGAAGGATGTTAAGAGGAAGCTTTTGAGATTCCCCAATATATTCACTTCTACTTAACGTCATCACTGTCCAGCAAATAAACAGCTTAACAATTCACTTCTTTGATTATACTGATCTGGGAGGGATTGAGAACAAAGAAATTACACAAATAGACCCAAGAGGGATTAAGAGAGTTCAATAGGCACTGAAATGAGATTTGCTTTTAAAAAGCATACACCAATATACCTAAAGAAAAGCAACAGCAAAGAAAAGGTATTTACAGGGAGATGCTCATTTTGAAAGCCTAAGTGTAAAAAGGAAACACACAATTCTGGAAGGAGATTAGGTAACAACACATGAAAAAATAAGGACTCCAATATTAAGTAGTATATAAGAAAATAACGTGTTAAGCAACAGAAAAATTGCCACCCGAGTTTTTGCCTATGAAGTAACAGGGAATAATACATTTCTACAAGTAAAGCGCTTAACTGGATCTCAGTACTTCTCACTCTGCTTCTCCACCAACCTAGATTCAGGTGTCCAGCACCTCTAACTTATCCTTCACTTCAGCTCCCTATATACAGAGCAAGGGTAATACTTCCAGTACACAGCTGAATTGTTGGGGAAACACATTCATTGTTACATGAAAGCTCTGTACAGAGATGATGGTAACCAGATGAGCCAGCCATTAGATAAAGACAAAGCTGATGCAAAAAGAACACAAGGGAGTGACAAAAAAGAAAGGAAGAAAGAGAAAAGGCAAAGAAAGTTGTTGAGAAGTTAGCAGGCCAGTTTCCTACTCCACTTCTGAATATCCACAAAAATTTTCAAAAGTACAGCAACATAAATGCTTGGAATAATACAAAATATCAGCAGAATAGTTACAGTAACAAGTAAAAATAATTTTACTAAAATATCAAAAGGTTTCATAAAGAAAGAAAATCCCTTATATTCAAACAGAAAAAGTTTAATTAAGCAACTGTTAAGCAATATGATAGTTCACAAGACTTTCATCTTTTGAGTTTTATATGTAACTCCTAAAACTTAGCAGAGATGAACTAAAACAGAATCATGACTGAACACCAGTAACTTCCAAGTTTTATGTTTCTACTTATTTGCAAGTACTTATGTACATAAGAGGGAAAACATGAATAGAAATTAGCTGAAAGTTATCATCAGCTTCTGTTGAAGGACAGCCAACCTTACCTCCTTAGGGTAATTTTAAGAACAACAGTCCAGTTCCACCTTTATGGCAACACAAAAAGCTTCTTTTGCTCCGTTTTAATTTTGAGATTCGCTTAAACCACTTTTTGAAATCTCATAAATTGAAGTAAATAGCATCTTCAATTTTATCGCCAAGAAGAAGATGAACTGTTGAACTTCATGGCATTTTTGCCAACTCATCTAGCTAACTATCTGCCTAGTCTGGAAAAATTAAGAGAAAAAAAAAACCCAGTATTTTTTAATGAAGTTGCATCAGCAATTTTTTTGATGAGCCAAGCACTGCTTTAAGAGTTTGGAGTTTGTAGTGGTTCAGCCTGGAAGAGAACTCTGTAGGTTCTGAACTCTGTTCCTGCCCATAGAAGTGCCAAGTTCAAACCTGGGTCCAGTTGCTCAGGGTCATATCCAGTTCAGCTCTGAGCATCTCCAGGAATGGAGATCCCACAACCTCTCCACACAGCCTATCGTAAATTTTGGCCACTCTGGTTATGAAAATTCCTTTCCTAAGATCAGAACATAAAACTTATAAAGAAAATTCTTTTCAATTGCTTCTCTGTTTTTATCATCTAAATGCAGAGTTACAGTTAACCATGCTGATCTGGGCAAACTCCAATTCAAATACGAATAGCTAAAAGGATTTTGATTTTTGATTTTATAACCAAAATTTATTTTTTGCTTTAAAATATGAACATCAAGTTGGCATCTTGCAGAGTTAATTTAACCTCTTGCTGCCCTTGGTTTATGAACCCTTTTATGAATTGGTCTTTACCGGCTAAAGGTAGATACAGAAACTAGCTGAATGACTAAGCCTCAAATATTTCAAATCTCCATAATTAGCCTCTATTAATTGTTTTTGACATCTCACAAATGCTTTTTAAACCCCAAATATATAGTAACTTACTTGCTATGTTTAAATGAAAAGATACAAAAGTCACATTAATGAAAAAATACAAATACAGCCAGTACTGTATTCTTATAACATAAATATTACAATGCTAAATATTCTTTGTAACAATCCAAGATAATACTACAGCAGGCTCAGAGACAACCTACTTCTTGACTCTTTTATCACAAAGATCTAAATGCAAATTTGGATTACCTTGACAGATAATCAAAATTAGATCCTTTGCATTTAGTTCTTATTTGTTTTCTTCACATACCATCTGGACAATTAATTCCTTTCCCATATCTCTCAAGAAATATTAAAGTAATAATTTACAATTTACTTATAATTACTACATTCCAGCTACCATTGAATAAAAACACCAGTTTAATTTCTTCTGAAATTCTAAACATGTTACTGCAAAATAAACATTTAACACATAGCCCTTCTTTGGTTCTTCATTCTATCTGTGTAGATAAATGCTACCAAAGCCCATTTCTCAAAGCTCAAGTGTTTCCCCAATCTAAACCAAACACTTTTCAAATACAATGCTCTACGAACTTTTATTTGTATGCCCTACCCTCCCAAACTCTGAAAGCTCAACCTCAAGAACAAGAAGAGAGGATTGTGATCTATTTGAAAAAAGCAGAATGTCTAATTTAACACTTGAGAAGTTCTCTCAGGAAACAAACACAAAAGAGTGACAAGGACATGTACAGGCAATGGCTTTAAGCAAAAGGCATAGAGATATGAGAAAAATTCTAGATATTCACGTGGTAAAAGAATGCTACAGATAAGCTTGAACACACTGCTTAAAGTTGACTACTTGAAGAAGGGAAGAAAATACTACATATGAAATTCCATTGTAAGGTAAAAATATACCGGACAACTTGAGGAGAGCCACAACAGGGGGAAATGTACTGGACCAGTATTTATGATTTCAGTATAGTTATCCAAACATTCTGCAATGTTCTCATGAATTGTAGGGAACTTTTTAAAGAAACAGCAAAGAGTTTTAAGATGGACTGGAAGCAGCCACATGTACTGACTGGAGGCATCACTGACAGACATGGGAAGGCTCACGTAAACATGGTCCAATATCAAACCGGGACCAATTTGGGAAGTTACCACTGTCCCTTGCCTAGATGTACATTTAAGCATGCATTTACCAGTTACAGGCAGACAAATAAAGATAGTCTCTGAAGAGAAATTTCTTTTGCTTTATTCCTTACCACTGAAGCCACCTGGTGGCTAATAAAGGGAGGGTCTCATTCGAAACACCCAAGAACCTCTGATCTGTTTGTCTGGAAACAGCAAGGAGTGAAGGACCTCTCCATCCATCCTCACCTATGCTTCACCAGAGGCTGACTTTCCATAGGTTATGTGCTTGCTTTTGCTTTTTTTCATAGCTTTTCCAGATCTACTCCTGACAGCAACTTCTCTGTTAACAAAGCTCTAAGCAACAGCAATAGAAATCATTATTTTTTCTAAATCAGGAGGATTAACAGAAATCATGGAATTAGTGATAAGCAAACTGAATATACTACACATTTTCTTTTTTCTTTCCTGTTTTAAGAGGAATAACTTTGCTCAAAGTGAAAACAAAAATGCAGAAATTCATTTTCTCAGACAAGATAACCACCGATTCTTCCTTAACTGTAGTAACGGCAAAGAAGAAGTAAAACTCTCTAAAACTACCACTAGTCTGTTCTGTTTGTGGGAGATCCAAAAACCTGAAGAATGAGCAAAGAATAAGGCATTTCAGCTGATGTCCAGTAACATTTTCATAAAGGAAGCTGCAGTTACCAGCTAGTAAATCTAGCTTTCTCATATGGTCACTATTCACATATTAACACTCCCTAGAAGCTGGTATTTAATTGGGGGCTGGAGGAGAAGTGCAGGGAAATGCCTGAAAGGATTAGTTCAGTTGAAACAAATCTGTATCACAAAAAGAATTTCTTCTTCACAGAACAAGATTATTTCATGGTTCATATTGATTTACTGACTACAAGACAGTCTTGAAAGGAACTACTCAATTGGATTAGATGTAGCTATTATAAAACCACATTTTTCTTTCAAGAGCCAAGTGCAGTTGTCTAAAAACATAAAATGCACAAACATTATGAGTGCTGAACAAAAGGAACGGGCATTATAATGAATGAGTATGTTATAGCTCTCACAAGGAAGAAACAGGTGCACCATGTGAAACAAGTCAAGTATTTATTCCTTGTGCATAGCATTGGTTAAGATCTCAGTTACAGTCTACTGGAGCTTGATGTGCTATTTTTTGCAAGGCTTCAGAGTAAGCAGCACATTGCAAAAGAGAAAAAAGAAATCCCAACTGGGACACTTTCAGGCCACAGTGACATAAATAATAAGATGATTCAAAATCTAAGACAGTGGAAAGTAGATACATTAAAAAGGGAAATTTTGGAGAAAAGAAAGTGAAATGGGAATGTAATAATTAGTATACACAGAAGAAAGTGTAAGTCAGAACAGCTCATTTTCACTGAGAGAGTGGAATGTGCAGAAGGAATGTGCAGAAGGTGATCCTGTGAATCAGAATCAATAGGACACTCCAATATGAACTAAATGGTGCAGAGTTACATTTTTTCCCAAGTATGTCCCCTCCTTGAGATAGTCACCTCCAGTATCAAGTCACTGTTTATGTTTTTATCCTATTAAATCTACTGCACTATTCTAAAACAATACATTAGCTAGACTATTTCATCCTGGGTTTGAATGAGATACTCATTAAACTGATATTTAAAGAAGTTTTTCCAGCAAAGATATAACAGTAGATAAAATACACATGAATGAAGCACATACAAAATTATGTTTACTAAAATTATAAGGCTTTTCATAACTAGAGATGCTAACCATACCAACAGGAAATTCAACTGCATAATACAAATTAAAGTGCAGAAAAACAACTACAAAGGTTGTACATGTTTATCTTTTCTATACACTGTTCAAGTGCTGTGAAGTTGTAATTGACTATTTTAACTATTTCAAGAAAGAAAAATCGCTTCCATCTCTGATCTGCAGAACGTACTCATCCTTCCCCACCCCCCGGCAATTCATAGCAACATTAACTCATTATACAGTTTAAGAAACGGTCCTTAAAGTCAGGTCTTCACCAGGTACTCTGTTTGCTTTCACAAACCCCAAAAGTTTACATTCAACATACTGTAAAAGGAAAAAAAGGAGCTTGCTGCACTCAGCCTTAAGTAAAACATGCATCACCATTTAAGTCACAACTTCTCCAAAAGGATGAAGGAGGCAAAAGGAACATACAGTTCTGTTTTGAAGCATTTATAAACATAACATATTGCTTATTTCAATTAGCAACCACATATTAATTACCTTTCGTAGCTGATTTGTGAAAAATAAAGTCTGTAACAAACTGTTCATGTAACAAGTTGCTCCCTGGTTCTTTAAGCCAACATATCCTGTGTGCTTCTTTGAATCCCACCTAGAAAATAGTTAGTTGTTAAAACAAGATAGTTCTTTATTAACTATAACAAAGAGTACTTGTTCTAAGGTAGTACTGCTGGTAGGTATCAGCTACTCTTCACTACTACTTCAGGTTCCAATTAACTACACTTCACTCCTGCCTGCCAGTAGCAACAGTCTGCGACCAAATGCTTTGCAATTTTGTTAGGTTTTCTTTTTAAAGATATTCTATATGGTAGAAAAAAAGTATTGTGAAAGTGCACTGGAACCCAGAGCTGTACTTCCAATGGCAAGTCTGCATTTCAGTACAGCTACTGTTTACAAGTGACATTAAGTAGAACGACTCAGACGAGGCAGTTTTAAAGCAACTGTAAAGCACGACAAGTTGGACAGTAGAGCCACCCGTGTCTGAAACCCCGACCAGCTCTAAGATCATAAATGTTGAGGCTAGATTTGCAGGTGTTATATTACAAATCAATTCATAGAGAAGTTCCACAACAGTATGCTGACTAATGCAAGTTGAAGCTTAACCTATGCAAAAATCTGTGTGACTAATGAAAAATACTGCCATGTGAGAACTCATCAATTAAAGGAGATAAAGTGAGAATGTCTAATGAGAGCTACAAATGTTCATAACACAAAATACTTGAACAATCTTGAGCTACATAAAAATATTTAAGAATTTTTATTTTTTAACAAAGATACTTACGCCACTCCATGTGGAGCATCTGCTTGAACATAGACTTCAAAAGTAACTTTGTCCTCTTCTATAAAGCCTTTTTCAGGATCAGTGACTTCCTGTAAAACAGGAATGACACACGAACATGAAAACTGGAACTTGCAACTTGATGGTAGTGAAGCATCCAGTTAGACATCACTTTCTAATGTCCAGGTCTGAGCTACCAGTAATAATAAAATGAAGAAGAAAAACTGAAGGACAACAACAAAACTGGTTTTCAGCCCAATATACTTTAATTCTTTTTTCCATGTCTCATTTCAAGAAACTTGTTCCTGGCTTTTAATATTCTGCAGTACTATTTCAATTTTCCATGGACAGGAAGAGTCAGTAATCAAAGGCTCTGCTGCTTCTCACCAGTATTTCAGACTGATGAAAATGCTTAATAAGCTTTCTCAATTCAAGATAAGCCTTAGTAGTATTTATTACTAGGGCATTAAATATCTGTACACATACACAAAAAAATACATGGAAATGCAAGAAAATCTATGTTACTTCAGAATGACATCGACTATCACAGTGAAAATAAAAAACAAGTATTGAGGTATGCAGAAAATAGTAATGAAGGAGTATTTAAATCACAATATAAGTAAAAGCCATCTACAACAATTAAGTACAGGAACTTGTGAGCAACTGAAAAAGAATCCACAGCAATGACAGAAAAAACAACAGCTTTTGGAAAATCCTTTTCTATAGGTATCTCAGTACCCACAGGTGCGAGTTCAAAACTGTTCCTATCTAGCAATAGATTAATATATGTCCAATTACTTACACTCCAGGCCATGAAGTTGGAGAAGCCCCAGTCATTTTCCTTATGAAAAAACAAGTGACTAATACGACGACTGAATGATTTTTCATCATCCTTGTAGTTTATTATCTTGAGAACTGCTTGTGCATGACAAGACCATGACCTATAAATACAGAAGAAACATATGAAACTCAGAACCAAGCTTTTTACAGTCATTGGATTTATTTTTTTTTTTTTTTTTTTTTAGGGATTTATAGTACATTACTTTCACGTAAGATTTATTTTTTTCCCCCTTACTAGAAGCTAAGATTTAGTTAATTGTTATGGAGGACATGAATCCCTGGGGCTTTCTAAAGACACACCATGAATGTGAAGCCAGAATGGAGATTTTCTGAGGGCAACAATGTTAAGAAAGTACTGTCAGGCAACTGCAGGTAACAGTGATTTAACCTAAGAGCTCTCTGAGGTGAGCTAATTCTGATCTACTTCAATACAGATGGATAGGCCTTCTCAGTAATAGTCACCAAGTAGTCTTGGCGTCTGCCTACAGAGTGTGGTTAACTGACTTTCCCTAAGGAAAGGAGGAAGCAATTCTACTCTCCCTCCAAGATAAACTCCCAATTGATTTTCTCAGAAGCACTCCTTTATGACAATTCTTGTTCAAATTTATCCCTCTTGAGCAAGACAATCAGACCGAGTATCAGATCACACATGGTCTTGTCACTGCCTGATGCAGGGGCACTACTGCTTGCTTAGCTCCTCCAGCTGCACTTTGGTTGATACATCTGAAGATCACATTAGCCTTGTTCTGTGACTACCTGCATGTGAACCACTTCTGTGACTAGTGGTTCACTAGCTGTGACTCTTACAATTTTCTTCCTTACCTTCTGCATGAAGCATTCACCTTTTAGATTACAAAAGTGATGGAAAACAGCAACTTACTATTCAGTGTGAGCTACAAATTACGTGAAATTTGGTGATAGAATGGATTTACCCTATGGGAAAGGATACCTATGAGGGTTTTGCACTCTAGCTGGATAAGCTGCAGTAATGCCTTTATCTTTTCAAATGTCTTTATTATTTACACAGATAGCATGCAGGACTCCAAGAACACGAAGATACTCTGAGGGCTGGAGCACCTCTGCTCTGAAGACAGGCTGAGAGAGCTGGGCTTGTTCAGCCTAGAGAAGAGAAGGCTCCAGGGAGACCTTAGACCAGCTTCCAGTGCCTAAAAGGGCTGACAAGAAAGCTGGAGAGGGGCTTCTGACTAGTGCCTGTAGTGATAGGAGATGAGGGAATAACTTTAAACTGACAGATGGGAGACTGAGATAAGCTCTTAGGCAGAAGCTCTTCCCTGTGAGGGTGCTGAAGCACAGGGTGCCCAGAGAAGCTGTGGCTGCCCCATCCCTGGCAGTGTTCAAGGCCAGGTTGGACACAGGGGCTTGGAGCAACCTGTCTAGTGGAAGGTGTCCCTGCCCATGGCAGGGGGTTGGAACTGCCAATCCTACATGGATAACCTTTACGGTCTCTTCCAACCCAAACCATTCTATTTACAATTCTAACACGTACATATTCATATCTCCCTTGATGAGCAATGAACACCTTAAACAAGAGATGACTACCTCATACACTGCTCTGCTTCAGTTGTAAGCTGTTACCTGCTCATACGCTTTACAGGGCAGGATTTTAGTTCTGCGGGGTTAGAGAAGCTCCAGGACCACTTCCATTTGAAACAAACGCAGAACTTTTCCCGTGCCAAGAAAACTGTCTGTCAAAGACATCCCCATGCCCCCAGCAATCAAACAAATATATCTAAATTCTACCACAAACTTGTGGCTGTACAAGCTACTTCTAGCTCCTAAACAGAGCATTACTCTTATGCTTTGGGATTTAGAAAGGTGGGGGGAAAAGGGAGAATCAAACCCTAGTGAGAATTCTCTCCTCTTGCAGACAGGTAAAATATTCTTTTTAGATGTTTGTATTTCTTGCCATACAGATTAACTAGTAGCAAATGAGGACTCATACAGTAATTAAAAGGGTCTTACGTGGAATCAGATTCAGCATTGCACTGAAGGAAGAAGCCTACGCTTTTTTGGTGTGGTCTGTCCGGGTAGAGTCGTGGCATAACCATGATCTTCCATGGCAAATTCCGTACAAAGCAGGGAGGACTGAGAACTGACTCACTCAATCTGTTGAAGCGTTCCACTGTAAACTGAAATGTTGCTTCTGATCGCCAACTTGTGTCTGGAACAAACACACACACAATTATTTGGAAAAAAAACCCCAAACCCAAAAAACCCAACACCAAAACCCAGATGTTCTTCACTCCAAAATGTCATTTTCAAAAATCATGCAACGTGAACATGTTTTATGTAGTGGGATATTGGAAGCAACCAAACAAAACCCCAAACCCTGAAAGGCACTGAGCAACTGAAGTTTCGATCTTTTAATTTTGAGAAACACTGCAACATCCTTCAGGAAAACAGAGCACTGGAAAAGCATTCCTTTTGTATGCTATTTTCTTAAGTAATTCTTTAGCACTAGAACTTACTATCACTCAAGTTTCTTCTAAAGCAGTGGGTACAGCCAAACAAATGCTTTACAACCCAAATCACAGCCTACACTAACTCTTCTTGTTGTATCTTCCCAGCCCAATTTAAGTTAGCTCTTTGCATGAACCAAGATGTGCAAAGGATTTTTGCAATCTGTTCAACTGCCCTATTGATACCAAGGCACCATTTAGTTATTTCTTGCAACAGTATCTTTTCAAGTAGATGAACCCCAATGTTTTTGGTTTTGTTTTTTTTTTTTGGGGGGGGGGGGGTGGTTTCTTTTTAAATCTTATACCAGTTTGCTGAAGAATAGCTCAAGACCACTTCAGGGTCCTCTCTGCGGTATGTGAACACTTTAAAGATTTTTAGTGGTCTAAACCAAAGTTAAATGAGACACTTTTTTAAAAAATGGCTTAATTTGACACACACAATTAAACTAATTTTGCCTTCTTCCCACATCCCCAGTTCTTCATATACCACAATCTGTTCTGCTTCTGTTGTACGTAGCTATAACAGGGTGCTGGAGACTGCGACAGTTTCAGGAAGGCACAAAGCTGGGTTCTCTTTATTGTGACATGCCTCTCTACATAAAGGGAGGAAAAACCTGCAACTTATCCCAAGAATTTTTCAGGGCAAGGATAGAGTACACACAAGACATTTCCCCTCTTTTCCATGGTTCCAACTGCACACCCATGTAACACTGAGAGATTGTGTGTAAGGAGGTTCGAGTACCATACAGGGCAGCAGACAAGCACCCATGGTCAGACCGCTGTTCTTGCACCACCCACGGGTGATGCAGAACTCAGGCAGATATGTCACAGTGACATCTGCAATCAAAAGCACTGATGTACAACGAGACCAAGCCAGAAATCAGATCACGAAACGATGTGACACAGGCATGCTGAATCCAAACACGTATTTTTCCCCTACACTCAAAGCAGCCCCTCACTCGAAGCTTTGCATGGCACCAGACAGTGTTGATTCTAATTAAAAAAACAGGTAAGCCCTTAAAAAAATTAAGCTCTCTTGATTACCACATGCAACAGTGTAACGACTATACACTTCAATACAGAAAATTAACAAGTTTTGCCCACAACTGCTGGGGAGCTTTGACAGATTCTTCTTCCTGGCAAATCGGTTTTCTTTTCAAGCTGTTGTCCTACTTCTTATCTTGATCTTGGCAACACAGTTGATCTTATTTGTGTATGGCCTGACAGCACTAAGCATTCCCAATTATCTCTTGAAAGTAATAGTACTACAGCAGAAACCAGCTTCTTCTGCTCTCTACACCTGCAACAACCTTCACATTACTGTGCGCTACCAGCTTCCTCAGAAGAGTTCAAAGGATTATTTTCTCCTCTTTTTCCCTGCATGTAAGCATAGCTAACCAGTAGTCTATCACCTACTTAAAAACTGCTCCCTGTCCATTTTACCTACTCATTGCCTGTTGACAGAGTAGAGAGCTGGTATCCTATATCCAAGAGCCAGACAAGCTACATCCAAAAGAGCTGTACACTCACACTTGATTGGCAACGGTTAGAGATCAATCCTGCATTGCTCGTATCTCAAACCAGCTCGAGAACGCCTCCCTGCTCATGATCAAGATCAGTACTTCTGGGCACAGTCTAAGCTTCCGAAAAATGAGCCAACCAAGTTTGCTTTCTGCCTCCTTTGATGCAGCTTTCAGAGCACTTCAGTACAAGGATGCAGCAGCGCTGCCATGGTGTCAGCTAAAAACGGCAGCCCACGCAGCATCTGCAGAGGCTTCAGAGAAAGTTTGCCTTGTTTCTTGATTTCTTTTCAGGAAAGCCTATGTATGAGAGCTCACCAGGAAAGGGTACTCTTCTCTGTAAATATTTGAGCAGTCGCTAGTAACTACTCCACAGAAATGCAGCCTCACAATGTAAGTCAACCCGAAAATAGAAGTTTCTTTAAAAATGCAAAACACAACCCCCCAAAATAACAACCTCCCTTTCCTTCCAGAAAGCCCGTATTTCAGCAAGCGTAATCGATTAAAACATTTGATGAGTATACTGAGCACATAAATAAAACCTTTTTCACTATTTTCACAGATGTGTCCACCAGTTTCTATAAAAGACTGCAACTGGCAGCAGGATGATTTAGTAGAGATTGGCAAGTAAAGCTTCTATAAATCCCCGAACTACAAACATACGACACATGGTCCTGAACACAAGGTAAAAAGAACAGACCCAACTGACCATGCTTGGTGGTGAAGTTACATGGAATGGATTATATCTGCTACATGGGAAGGATTTTTTCCACTGATGAGGTGAATGTCATGTTTAGCACCTTGATGTGACACGGTTCCTTCAAATCAGAGATCCAACTACAGAATGTGATCCATTTTAAGACTGAAGTACACTATTTAAGCAGATTTCTTTATTATTTTAGTAAATGTTGCTACCTTTAAAGTACATTGAGGTTATTAAAATATATTCTGAACCTGAATTATTAATGGAGAAACTGGGTGAATATTCTATGAATATTTTAATAATGATCCACATACAGCATGCAATACTAGCAAATGGCTAAGACTCATGCTTCTGAAAACCTCCTCGCCCCTGCAGTTCTTCACAGAAATGAGACTTCAGTAGGTAATTGCAAATCTGTGAGTTTATGTTTAGCTAGGGACCTTCTGTTTGAACTTTAACTTCTAAAGATAATTTATTCTATGTGCTGTTTTGAATACTGATGCACTTGCAAGCAAAATTTTATCAGAACCTTGTTTTTCATAGAATAGTTAGGGTTGGAAAGGACCTTAAGATCCTCTAGTTCCCCTCCCCTGCCATGGGCAGGGACACATTGCACTAAACCATGTCACCCAAGGCTCTGTCCAACCTGGCCTTGAACACCACCAGGGATAGAGCATTCACAACTTCCTTGGGCAACCCATTCCAGTGCCTCAGCACCCACTCTCACTTCTTCCTTATATCTAACCTGAACTTCACGTGTTTACGTTTGAATCCATTACCCCTCATCCTACCACTACAGTCCCTAATGAAGAGTCCCTCCCCAACATCCTTACAGGCCCCCTTCAGATGCTGTAAGGCTGCTATAAGATCTCCACACAGCCCTCTCTTCTCCAGGCTGAACAGCCCCAACTTTCTCAGCCTGTCTTCATATGGGAGGTGCTCCAGCCCTCTTATGATCCTCATGGCCCTCCTCTGGACTTGCTCCAACAGCAAGTCTAAGTTTTTGTTATTTTTTACTTCACTTGCAGAAGCTGCTATTCCAGATCACAAAGCCTGGATCATTAAGTCATTCTCTGTACAAAGCATAACACATTCCTTCAGTTGGTTCTTTTTAATTGGCAAGACATCATACATAGCAACAACAGGTTCTAGCCAAACCCCTTGAGAGAACACAGCCTTATCTGAAGGTCCTGTTGGGTGGTCCACTGCTGCTCCCGTTATGCGTTCTTCACAATGCCTGTGATTAGTGCCTAGCAAAGGGGGCGAGAGCTGCTATTCCCCCCCACCCTCCCATCTTATCAGTCATTTCTTTTTGCGCTAAGCAGAAAGTACAAAACCTCAAAAGTCTCCTGAACTCAGAAATTCACCAGAAAGCTGGTTTCTATGATCCAGGTGGAAGCGTCAACCTTTTATCTTACTCTTTACTTTTCACCCATTAAACTCATTAAGACTTTCACTGAAGAGGTACCTAAGTTCTCTTCATGCATTCTTTATCAGCTCAGATTGATCCTACTTGCTATGAATAACAGCAATGGAAAACACAACATGTTTATCAAATGTCTCTCTCCATTTTTTCCTATCTTGAGAATCTCCAACCTGTCCATTACTTCTGTAGACTGTGCTGCCAACCAGGATAGTAAGAGAACAAACAGCAAGAGAGCAATTGCACTCGTGTAAATAATGCAACAGCAGGCAACTAATCTGATTTATAAGACTTGGAAAAGAGGCATCATCCAGTTACATGATGCAAGTCTTCAGGAATGTTTTTGCATTTACAACATTTTGCAGTAACACTAGTTTCCATGTGTCAATGCAAACTTCAACTGCACCAAGATGTAGCCAGACACTCCTTATGCAAATATGATAATGAGTAACTTCTAGTATTGCTTAATAAACACATTTCAACCCCAAAAGATATCCCACAGCAGAGTGCATCAGAGCTCCTGACCCTACAGAAACTCCGCAAATATACGAGTACCACCATAAACACAGAATCTTCCACAAGCCCTCTGCTGGATACCTTCAGGTAGTCCCTTCTCCCTACTGTGACTCCTTCATATCCAGTTCTCCAAGAGGAGTCGAGTATTTGATACATGACAGAAAACTGGCTGATAGTAGCTCTTTGGTTAAAAAGTCACTATTACTCTGAATGAAGAGGTGTACATGTGATTACATGCCACCCTGGACATGGCCTGGGTTTTATCAGCTGTTTCTGTAGCTTAAGTCCCTTTTGCTTCATTTATGCAAGTATATACAGACCAACTTCCGGACAAAATTTTATGCCAGTTGACCAATATGTTATCTACTAGCTGTATTAACAGCAAACACTATCAGACTTTCTACCTATAAACATCATTACTGAGAATGGAGGTTCAACAGAAGTGTCCTTGCCAATCAGTGTCCGTCCATGTGATCTTCTCTTCAAATGCCATGGCCTGACAGACATTCAACTTCTTTTGTAACAGGTGATTTGATTTTGATAAAAACAGAATTCCCTATTTCAGCCTCAGCTAGTTACTCTGAGCAAGAAATCAAAGCCCTCTGAATGAGATCAGGCAATCAGACGTGAAAAAATTTCATAGACTCAGCAGACCTCATTTTTACTTTATTGTGAGAATCTGATCATAGGAAACCTTATCTTTGCCAATGATACAGAGGAAATTCAATCATGAGATGCTTTTGTCCTGAATTTAAACCATATTCTTTTCATGGAACATTACTATTTTTCTATCAGTATTCTATTACATGTTCCTTGAATACACGCAAGTAAGCACATTTTTGACCTTCAACCACGAACTCTGACTTTTCATAACCAAAACTGATCAACATTTTGCACAAATATAAATAAACGTTTAAGCCTAGTCCTGAATGTATTATCCTCTCACAAGACAGCAGAAATAAGGAATCAAAGTGGAAGAAATCCAACTCATACTTTGTCTCCTTTCTCCAACTCAAATTTCATGTAATCTTTCAAAATAAGTAGCCCCCCTATATGCTCTCCTATAAAAAGAAATATCATTGTACATTTTCCTCGCTAAACAACAGACTTAATTACAAACTCATCATCTTTCTTTAAATAAGCCAAGACACAATCTTCTGCAACAGAAAAACCCTGTGCACCCTTATTTTCATTAAATAGACCAACAAAAAGGTTTCAAAAACACATCCTCATTTATTAACTGGATATTAGTACATACTTCTTCCTTTGCATTTGCAAATAAAAGGGCATCAGAGTCGAGGGGGAAATGTTCCTCAACAGAACAGTTACCACTGACTTACCATACCAAGACAAACACTGATCACAGATGCCACCTGACAAGAGAGTGGGACAGATAAGGATTCTAAATGTCCTGAAGGAACTGCATAACTGATGCAATTGCATTTAGCCAAGCACCAGCTGCAGGCTGTTTAAAGGGACATTTATCACAAAATGTAACAATGGACAGTATCACTTTCAGCAATTTTAAAATTGCCTAGAAGGAGTAAGAAGTAAAAAAATCCCAAGCCCTCCGATGCCTGCTCCTATTGTATAGCTATGCTAAAAGGATGCCTACACAGAAAACCAGCAGTCATAACTACAGAGGGTTTCATTTTTTTTTATGAGCTGCAGTTCAGAGGACACATATAAGACTGGGACCATTTTATCCTCAAAAATCATAGAAATAAGCCACCAAACCACAAGTTTTTATCACATATTTACTTACCATCTTCCATGTCTTCTTCAGTGTTGTTATGTCCATCAGCCATTGCTACATTCCCATTAATGACAGGATTTTGAGTAATTCTTGGAGGATCATCTGTATCTCCAGCTAATTAAGTAAAAAAAAAAAAAAAAAAAAAAGTAACAATCAGCTACATTAACATTTCTGTCTCAGGTAGTGCTTATCAGACACGCAAATGGCATATTTAGTGCAAAACAGCATACACAAAACAATGGTACCGATATGCGTCTAACAGTAAAATTCCTCAAACAGATGAGTACTTATGGATGAAGCAAAAAGTCCACATTAATGTGGAATACAAATACAAAGAACATAAATATATTCTGAAGTTTCCAAATTGTCTTACAGTCAGCATCTTATCATCAAGTCTCATTAAATAAAAACAACCTTTTAAATTACCTTTTCTGGGGTTCCACATTTTTTACAGGTACAAATTTCTAATAGGAGACTTTCTAAATTGACAATTTATTTTAACATTTCTGTGGTGTTACTTTAAAAACAAACAAGCAATCTAAACATTTAATCAAATGTAACAATAAGATTTAAATTTTACTTGGGCAAAATTGGAAAGGAAATCCTCTACTATGAGGAACATTTCAGAGGTAACATTTTCCAGTTTCTAGCCATCACTGCTATGAAGTTTTGTTCCAGTAACTGCTTAAAACACATGTAAACACCACTAAAGAGATATGAAACAACTCCACGAACTATGCCACCATGATTTTAAAAGATACATTGCTTTGACTGAACAAGCATCTTCCTGCTTTATCCAACTGAAGAACACCACCTCCTATTGCTGTGCATCAAAAGCTGATGGATCGTTTCAGCATAACTGCAGGGAAGCGGATATATTCTTGAATAAACTGTTTTTCATCATCAGGCTGTAAAACCTATAATCTTTTGCAACCACCCCAAGCATGCCTTAAAAGACACTCTTCTAAAGGGTCTGAGAAGTTTCTCTTAACTATACCAGTCCTGCTATTAACTTGTATATTCCACTACACCACACCAACCCCACCCCACACCCAATCACTGGTGTCTGCAACTAAGAGCAGTTTTATACACAAAAGCTACACACGAGTTACTGGCTGTGTGGGTCACCAGGGCCGCGGGTAACCTTCTCCTTCAGGAAGTTAACTGTTCCCGAGGAAACACCACAAGCTCTGCCACCGGGAGCCCGGCCACGGTGCTGCCCCTGCCCGTCAGCACCCTGGACAGAGCTCCCCCCGCCCCAGCCCGTGTCCATGCAACTGCCTGCGGACCATCGGTAATGGGCACTGATCCCTTTCCAAAGCCAGGGAACTAAGGCCAAAGCCATTGTAAGCCACACAAGAAGCGAAGCAGGATCAAGCATTTGCTTCACAGACCGCCCTCTCCTCACAGCCATGCTGAGCTGCGTGCAACACGCTCCTACAGCCTCACTCCAATTCAGAGCACACAAGAAAAAGATATTTTCACAACCAGCACTCCTATTCTGATAATTTACTCTTCTAGTAAATCCACAGAACTAATAACCACTGCCCTGAGCGTGAACAGAAACAGATCAGGTTAGAGATTTACTTCTGGATTAGAGCTACAAGAGATCACACACTTAACACTCAAACACGGCTTTACAAAAGCTTCCCAGGATGCAGCAGGTCTCACTGAGGCACCAGTGAAACACGTATGCCAAAACGCAGTATGTGGCACCCACAACAAAGTGTGCACCCTTCTTATTACGAGTACAAAAGTAAAATGAAGAATGATTTAAAGTTTTGATTTTCTATTTCTAATAAAAAGGTTTGCAGAAGATGGCTCCTGAGAGATGCAGCTGCAAAAGCCCCCACCAGCAGCTGTCACAGCACTGGTAGAACAGCAACTTTAACAAACTTAAACCAAACAGAACTGAATTACAACAAAATCAAGGGTGGGGGGAGGAACAGGTTTGAACTGCGGCAACTACAGAACAGGAAAAGTGACAAAAAGACGAGTATGAAGGAAAGATCTCTGTGGATTTCCACAGCTTGTCTTTTCCCTTTTAATCTTTGAACAGCACAGTGAGAGTCTAACAAGGAAGTTGTCCCCTGGGTCACTCCTGTCTGGGAGCGTACAGCATGCCTACAGCAACCCAGCAATTGCTTACACAAAATTAATACTAGTATTATTTTTTCTTTTAATTAATTCTATTTTTAAAGTTACCATCAAGGCAACTTAGTATCTAGAAACAAAATGAAGCAAACACCTGAGGAATAGTCAGTTCTTCACTAAGAGCTCATCCAAAATACTCTTTTTAACTGAGGATTTCAGTGGTGGTACCACATTTTATGGGTAAAGCACTGTCCTTCATTAAGACAATCAAGAGCTTTCTGTGAGATACTGCTCTACATTCCCCAAAAGTATGAATGGTGTTAGCAGAGAGAAGGGAGAAAATGCCAAAGAGATCACAGCAAAAGCAATCAAATGACAAACAGACGTAGCTTCTGAGAGATACTATTTAGTGATAAGATAAACTTAATCATGATGTATGCCACTGCTGCTTTTTCTGACGTGTACTGACACATTTTGTAACACAGCTTTCAGATATGGAACTCAGATAACATTAATGAGTATGGTGGCTTCTGTGAATAAGAGACATTTTTAACTTCTAATAGAATTCAACTATTACAGTAAATACTTTGCACGAGCAAAACACAGTTCTTGTTGCAAGCAGGACATCAAAGTTTATTTTCAACTTTAGCACTGAAAACAAGTAATTTATGTTTTCTTCTCTCGTCCTTCAGAGCTCATACAAAGAACTGCCCAATCCTACCAAGATTTAATTAAGAAACCTGTTTTCATTTGACTCAAGCAGAATGACGCCAAAGACTTATTCAAATTATACAATACAGGATTAAGATTTAAAAAAAAAAAAAAAAACAACAACAACCCAAAAAAAAAACCTGTCCACACTGGCCAGGTAAACTTCCTACCAAGCATAGCACTTCATACAGTGCTGTCTTTAATGCAGCTTAAACCATCATGTGTCAACACCACCTCAGTCAGGTTAGCTGTCAGTTCCTAGGCCAGAATACCCAGTTTTAATTGTATCCCTGGTATAAATTAAAGATGCAGTGTATTAATCAATCAAAAGGTAAAATAAACCACGTAAAATAAGAAAGTATTACAACAAAGCATGAAGTGACCTTATGAATAAGGAATGTTTTAACTCTTTAAATATAATACTGCAAATTATTAACTAAAAAATAGCTTTCAATTGCAGTATTTTAGACACTGTCAGTGTTTGGTAAAGAGCACTGAAGTTGTTTTCTACTCCCCAAAATGCAACCCATACAACTTTGTAGACACTCTTCCATTACAAAAAGGAATGCAAGGCAACATAAACTGATGACTATTTCCTCCAAAACATTTAAGATTTAAGGTTATATATAGTTTTGTATGTAACCCATTCCACTGCATTAAAAAACAAGCAATACAGCTTGAAGTGTTTAAAGGGGGTCTCTGCCATTTGAAGGTTAAGCCTTCCAAGAAGAGGCTTTTAAGATATTAACGGTTTGAGCAAAGCAAGAATGTTCACTTATTTACTGAAAGATCATGAATGCTGAGATGAAATGAAGTCTAAAAACTGGCATGTGTAACTGGAAAGAAACTGGAGCACGGCAATACATTTGGGAAAGTTAGTAAGAAGTGTCAGTCACTTTACACAGGCAAAGCACTGGCTCACGTATAAATGACTCTGCTAGTGCACACTTCACATTGCTCATCAACCAAGTCTGTTACTGAAGTGTTGAGATGAAAGCCTGAAAGCAAAATGCTTATTGCAATTGATGTGAAGGGAGAAAATAAAAAAAGACGACAAAATTCTCTGGAACTACAATCTTGCCATGACCTTACAGAAAATACTAAAATAAAAATTTCCTTGTTACGGACTATGACCTCGACATTATACTCAAATACTCACACTGTTAAGTAATCTGAGCAAAACCAGCACCAATAATTAAAAGAGACTGTTCAGATGGATTCAGTTAGTTTAATAAGATGAACTCAATGTCACTGAAAGACCTACTGCTTTACTGTTCTACTGTTCACAGGAAGTTAAATCTACAGGGAAGGAATCTCAAAAAGTTTGCTATTTTTATTTTTCCTGTTAATGAGAAAGCAGAATAGATTTTTGTCAAGATCATGTGGCTTTTGGCACAACCTAAGTCCTGTTACAAGAAAGGAGTACTGCCGAATTTCATTTCTCCCCAAGATGTAGGCTACGCTGCTCAGCAGTAAACATGTGCTTGCAGTCACATGTGGACAAAAGCAACAGAATGACTCCACTATCACAGCAGTTAAATTCCAGCACACTGCTACTACTTTAAGAATGATGACAGCAGCTACTGACTTCATAGGTTCAGCCATGACTCATATCACACCAAGTATTCAAATTCTAAAACATTGTGCTTGTCATTAGCTTTCAGATCTGGCAGCCACAGCGGAGAAACTGAAGCAGTCTCTCTAGTAGGTTATGAAACATTTCTCTTTCCTGTTGAGGTTAAAGAGACCACAATGGAGGAGCAATAGTGATACCAAAAACCTGCTTACAATTATCATGTACAACTGCCTCACAATGGAAATCACTAGTCCTGAGGACTTTTTACATGTCACTATAGACGGTTTGCACAGACCTCTGTGCAGAGCTGCCACAGCAATCCCAGAAACAGCGAGGGAGTTGCACTGAAGATTAGCAGGCATTAGCAGGCTGAAGAGAAGTCAGCCATTCACTGCTGCCTGCAGCTTGAAGACTTTGATGAACCAAACTTCATATCCAGGACTCTACCTTTAGGGGAGGAAAGCTGAAAACACACAACTTTCTCCTCTGCTGCTGGACTAAATGGATGTTCCAAAAGCAATGCCTTTATAAGAGTTATTAAAGGGCATTTTAATACTTTTTGTTTAAATGTAAATAGAACAGTATGTACAGATACGACAAATTGAGCAGGAGGTGACTTATGGTGTATAAGTGAAACTGCAATAAACACTAAGAAAAGGGACTCACTGAGCAAAAGTATAACATGGTAAGAGATAAGAATAAAGTCTGGCAATGTGAATCTCACTGAAA